CGGGAGGCAGGGAGCATGGATTTCTCTGGCAAAGTCGCAGTGGTCTCCAAATGGGAACAGAGCGGATCCCTTTGGCTTCCCTCATGATGAACCCAAGAAGGGTGCCCTCAAAGATGGCTCAGCGCCCATGTGGTTTCTGATTTGGGGGACATGAGATGAGACGGCCAATCGTGTACCACCCCCATGCCTGCACTCAAGGATCCCCAGCACCATTGGTGATAGGGAAGTGTGTAATGCCAGGCTATCTATTTTCCCTGTCTATTTCATTTGGATTCTTTCCTCTCTATCTCTTCTCGTCAATTCTCTTTCCTTGAGGTACAACACGAATCCAGATGAAGCAAAAGATAAAGAGAAGACAGGAAGGTGGGAATGTGTCTATGATGAATCGTTTTCTACCTCACATTCCCCTTCCATAGCTATCTATTCCTTTCGCTTTCTTTCATCTTCCGCGTTCTTATTTCCCGTTAATAATTGGTGATTTCTCGGTTAGTCTGGGGAGGACGTTGGGGGCCCACCCAACTTTCCCATGAAGACCAGGGTAGAACAATTCAAGAGGGAGCATAAGAAACTGCTTCAGGAGGTGGATCGAAACTGAGCCACAGACCTAAGCACCGAACCTCACGGAAGGATTCCTTCGGTTGCAAGTGGTGTGTCCCCACACCCAGACAGATTCAACTTGGATCTCACAACTTTGAGCCGTGGCATGTTGCTTGGACCCACTTGGATTCTGAGATGACCAAAATGGCTGCAGATACAGTGGTCACAGGCTTGGTGCAGCTGATGTTGCAGCCAAGACAAACTCAGACATTCAGCCAGAAAGTCAGACACACAAAATGTCAGACATACCACCAATGTCCGACTTTCCGCTTGGGTGGTCCAGGTCACTTGGGCGCAACTCTGGCATTTTGTTTTAGATTTTAAGAACTGGTTCCCACTCACCCGTTCTTACCCACCAACAGGGCTCTCCTTGTTGGCTGCTTGCCGATATGTCCAAAGTACGATCAGACAATTCTCTAAAGACAGCCTTGAGGCGGTCAGATACTTTGACCCACCCATTCTGGAATTCCTTGCAAAGCCGGAGCGCAAAGGATGCTAGCGTCATGTACACAAGCGTCCGTGTACCTTTGGAAAGCCGGCAAGCTCACATGATTTGCGTAAGCTTCGTAGGATGCAACCTGTTGCGATCCGCAACATGTTTGCATGTCAGCTTCTCCGTCCAGGGAGCTGGAGATGCTCCCCATCACCTTCGGCGAGGTCGGGTGTGGTTTTGTTTGTTTGATTTGACACCCTTGTTCAGATGACCTTGCAGCAGTTCATTGATCAACGAGATCAGCGCGCCGAATTCCAACGCCATGCACATTCGCATCGTTTCCGCTGTTCCCAGAGGTTACGACCCCGATGGAGCCGACAATTGTAAACCTTCGTCATTGCAAACAACTCGGGCTGACCACCGCCCAACCACCCCACCCGAAAACTTGCCAACCGTGGATTCTCAACCCTTGGAAAGCCCTCCTGTCGGTGCTCGTCAGAACCGCCTGTTAAATGATTGCAGGGCCAGTTCGAAGAACGGTGACCCGTCGCTTTTGGTGGGTTTTGTCCCGACAAATCGACGCTACAGCATCGGGCTCTTTGGACAGTCCTGGTCCACCATCTTTGAGAGTCAACCACCAACCAAAGGCAACTGGAGGCCACCAGGCCCACAGAGCATTTGAAGATAGGTGCCCCTCCCAATTCGAACAGTATACACCTCAAGTATTGATCCAGGCTGTGCGTCTTTTTGGGGAGGCCCCTTTTGATTATTGTGTGTGTGTGTGTGTTTATTTTCCCAAAGGGATGAGACGACAATGTTGAGGGTCCGTGTCCAATCTCCTCTTTGACCCACTCCACCACCCTATAAGCCCCTTCCCAAGAATTGTCCACATTGTCAGGTTACCGGGTTTGCAAAGCCATTTGAGCGAAGAACAAATGTCGGTTTTGGGTGTTTTTTGGTCAGCTTCTGGAAAGATTGGACACCCGAAATGGCTTTTGTTTTTTTAGTTTGCTAAACCAACTTGAAAAGAGCATCCTCCCGGTAATGGGAGGCTTTCCTTTAGTTTCCGTCTAAACCAACCTCCAGCTGCTGCCAGCCCCCTTCTTGGGTGCGTGTGTGTGTGTGTGTGTGTCAAAGTACTCCTTAAAGTTACGGTTTTCCTTTCGGACTCCCTTGGAAGCCATTCCATCAAATGGTCCCAACAGAACAAATCCTGGGCCCAGCTTAAGGCAGCCAAAGACGTCATCCGAATTTCTGTCGAACTGGTGTGTTTCACGGCTTTTGGAATCCGCGTTTGGGGATAAACAGACGCCCTCCATTCATTTGAGTCCCAAAAGAACAAACACATGGGCCAATCTCAAGGCAGTCCCCAGAACAGCCTTGAACCAACCCCCCCCCCTTTGGGGTTTTTTCTTGCGCGATCCGGCGATCAGGGCAGCGCGCTGGTCTTCCACCTGGAGCTCCCTGAGCAGGGCCTCCGCAGCGCCTCGCTGGTCTACGGGTCGCACTTCCAGTGCCTCGGAGACGAGTGAATCGAGAGCCCGGGGGGGGAATATGGGAGACGTGGCCCCCCAAAGGAAACCTGTGGCCAATTTTGGAGTGAAGAAGAGTTGTCTTCCCATGGTGCCCGATGGATTTACACCCAGATTCATTCGGAGTCAAGGGATATTTGGGGGCGTTTGTTTGGAAGAAGGAAATCCCACTAGACCCACCTCATACCCACCTCATACCCACCTCCAGTGGTTCCTGTTTGGCGGGAAAGGAGGCTTCCCCAAAGGGAAAGTGATCTTCTGCAACCCTGATGTCAGGTTCAATTCTTATTGGAAAAGGGGTCTCTCGACCGAAACCCACACAGGCGAGTACCGGGCCAACCCATGGTCTCCTTGGTGCAGGTTTACGAATGGTTGGTTTGAGCAAGTTGCTGGTGCGTTTGCTGGAAGAGATGACGTGGCTTCGTTGCCTTGTGGTTCATGCGTGCTTGTGGTTGCATAGTCGCTTCTCATGTTTATGGCCAGGTCAAATAGTGGATATATGATCCTGTATGCTTAGTGAGGGAAAACCCTGCCTGTTCGCACTGGCTGCTTCCGGGACATTTGCGGGGGGGGGGTGCTTCCACATCATGAGTGCCTGACACAAGCACAAATGCTGTAGGTGTATCATTCCCAGTTTAAATCCGCAATGCTTAAGGCTAACCAACCCTTGCTCATGGGGGCTTGGGGGGAGGGAGGGGGGGGGGGGAGCCCAACCAAGCCCTTATTAAGCCCTTAATGAGGCCCTATTTAGGGCTTATTTGGGCTCCCTCCCCCCCCTCCTCCCTCCCCCCCCAGCCCCCATGACTTGCACTTGCCCTTTTGCCACAAGTCGTCCAAAAGACTCTTGGGGTGGGATAGTCCTGAACTCCTGAGAAACTCATTGTAAGTTTCTTCAGGAGCCATGGTCCACAGATTCAGAGTTTTGACCACACATAATACGGGTGTGTCTTTTTTTTTGGGACCCCAAACTGGTGGTTTTCCTTTTGGTTTCCCTCTAAACAGCCCCCCAAAAAGTGCCAAACAACACACACACACATGCCAATCTTGTTGCCAAGGCACGTCTTCACAGACTTGCCGGAGACTGTGTGCCCTCGAGCGTGCAGCATTGATCAGGGCCAGCAGGAGTGGTTTACGGCTTGATAATGCTTGCTTGAACTGTCAATATGAGCTTAACACTTTTGTTGATAGGACCTATTTTTGGTAGGGTTGATCTCAAGGCAAGCCAATGACAAACTGCTCATTAAGGCGACTCTTGACTTTCATCTAATATACACAAGATAATGGTGATGATCATAATCATAATAATAGTAATAATAATAATAATAATAATAATAATAATAATAATAATAATAATAATAATAATAATAATAATAATAATAATAATAATAATAATAATAATTTATGTTAATTCAAGAGTGCTTTGTGCCTTGTTTCTAAGAGCAAGCTTAAGCGGGTGACGTATTTCGTAATTACATAAATGTAAAAGGCTCCGTAAAACAAAGTTGCGTAAATACATAAAACAACATGACATAAACACAGTCTGAAGGATTGCTTCTTTGTGTGTAGATAGCAAGAGGTTCACACCATGTTTGCCATTCAGTTTCAGACTGCTTCCCATGGTTTCTGCGTGCAATTTCAGCTTGTGATAGTGTCATGCTTCTGACGCAAACACTGCCTTTGAGCAAGGCAAACTCAAGTGTGTTTCATGTGAGATTCGTTAAGGATAGCAACATCATGTAACATCATGGATAAGTTTGACTGCGTGATCCGACGTGTTTCACTCGACCACACTAAATTCCATGTTTGGGAGACTTTGCGTGGGGAGTTGCACGATGTTACCAGTTTTTGCCCAAACATCACAAGCCCCCTTAGAGGCCATCAGCCATCAAGGGAACAACGTTAAGTTTTGTGTCAGCGCTTGCTAGTTTAGTTGAGGGATGTTTGGGGAGATGTCTGGGGAGAGCTTGCTTGACTGAACTGGGCGGGTCTTGGGTCTGATGATTTGTTTTTATAATTCCCACCGACGCTACAATCCGGAACGCGAAGGCGGCCCAACTCATTTTGTGAAGTGTGAGGGTCCTTGAATTACGGCTGCAAAAGGTGCGAGTTTCAGTAGGCGAGCGGCGAGAGCTGTGATATTCAGTTTGTGCGGGTGATTGAACCCCGGTTGCAGATGTTGCAATGTTCAGAGATGTGTCACAACGAGAATCATAAGCTCGACGTGTTACAATCATAACATGCGTCGCTGCGCCGTAGATGCGCCCTGCTTGCAATGGACGGTGATGCTGCCCTGGCTAGACTTCACTTTGTTGACAGGCAGGTCAACAAGACCCGGCATCGCAACCACGCAGCTGCTCGCGCGGGCAAACTGGCGGCGGCGCTTCGCCGAAGGTTTGCTTCGGCCACGCAGCACGTGCGCAGCAAGATCAAAGAGCACAACATCAGGCATGCGACCCGGAACCAGGACATCATCCCTATCGACCAGAGTCATGCGCCTGCGCAGCGACGTCTCAAGACGGCAGTGCGCGGCAAGGGCGCCTACCGCAAGTGGACAGCGGGGGCCATTCTGCGCGTCACGTCTGTTCCTGAGTTGATTGATGTGAGCTGAGTTCTCAGCAGTCAGACTTGTTACCGATCCTTTTGCGAAGAAACAGAATGGTAGAGCGTCAAGAGTTGTCATGATGCAGCCCGGTATGTTTGCAGATGTTCCAAATGTCGGCGTTGGAGTCCGAATTCTGTGTAACATGAGGCTTGGTGGTCATCAAGCCCGCTCGGCTATTTCTAGACCACGCCCATCGCGGAGCCCATGTGCGTTCAGCCTAAGCAGCACTGCTTTCTGGTTCTCCGCGAGCGCTACCTTCCTCGGCCAGGCTCGCCTTTTTTCGGGTTGCCACAAAGGGCTGCGGGTTGCGTGGCCGGGTCGTGGGCCCCAGACCCCTGGCAGGTTCGCATGGCCGTGGCTGGGCTCTACATGTTGTGCCAGCAGACTGTGCTGGATCGAGTTTTGCAGGCTGGCCATAAAGTTTTGTCCTAGATCTTTGTGTGCCAAGGTGTTCCAAAAACGTAGTCTGTAGTTGTTGACGCAAGGCTTACGTGCCACCAGCGCAGACTGAGGGTCAGGGGCAAGCTCACGACACGACCCAACTATCGATGTGCGATCACAAACGACAAGGGCAGTAGGAAGTCGACAGGAGACTCGGGCTATCGTTTTCTCAGAAGGGTTCGAGGTTGACACACTTCACGCAGTTGAAGACAAGATGGGTGTTTCTCAAAATTGGAGACCGTTTCCTTTTGGTTTTCTGTTAAAAAACCATCCAAAACGGGCCCCCTAGATAAGGAACTAGATGGTCCCCGGGATGGTGTTGATTAGGGACACAGTGCCAAAGCCTTACTTAGTAGACCCATTCAGCGTCACAGGGCCCCCTCTTTTTCCCCCCTTGAACGTTGCCCAAAGATGATGATTAAATTTGCTGAAAAGGAAAATAAAGGGCCCCTGGTCACCCAACCCCTTCCAAACAAGTAAACAAATTGGGAAAACAGGTTCCCCATGTTACCTATGTTTGAAGGTGTAGTTCTTTTTCCTACATCAGTTTCTGGCGAACTCAAAGTGGATTTTCCTTTGGAAAAACTCGGGAGCTGAAAAAGGGGCCGCTCACTCTTGCGCCGGCGGCGCGGGGGTGCGGCTTCAGCGCCTTCACGGCACGGTGGCTGCGATTTTTCGGGCGTGGCCTCTCTCCGAGCGCTGCAGGGGAGGGGGGCCCCATATCCACCTGTGGTCTTAAAGGGGGGGGGTCCTTTTTTGAGGAAGGTGAAAAAAGGGAAAGCCAAAATCCATTGGTTCGGGCGACACGTACGAACTTTTCAACTTATTAACCCATAGCTTCCAGACACATAGTGCCGCAGCTTTCAGCTTTGCTCCCAAAGCGCGTGTGTGCAGGCGACATCCAGCGTCCAGCGCCTTGTGCAAGCGCTGCGTGTTGTGCAAAAGCAGCCAAGCAAAGGCGGGGTGTGCTTCTGAGCGGGTGTGCTTGGCATTTGGCAGGCGTGTGTGCGCAGTGCTGAGCTGGTGCACTTGACCGGGTGTGCTTACCGTTTGGCAGGCACGCGTGCGCAGTGCTGAGCTGGGGCGCTTGACCGGGTGTGCTTACCCTTTGGCAGGCGCGTGCGCGGTGCTGAGCGGGTGCGCTCTTGGCCACGGAGTTGTTCAAAGGGTTGAACTTTGCCGACACACGGTACCGTTTTCCGTGTTGGTAGCCGCCCCCCGTCTTTAGATTCCTGCAATCGAGCGCTTGACAGGATCGCCTGTCCGCGTCGCCAGCATCACTTGTTCACACGGCGTTCCTTTAGTTCAGCAATCGCGCGCTCAACCGAACGCGCTCAACATCGCCAGCATCACCTGTCCGCATCGCTCAGCGTCACCTGTGACACTGCGTTTTTTATATTCCTGCAGTTGGGTTGAACACGTAAAAAAACGCGCTCAACATCGCCAGCATCACCTGTCCGCATGGCTAGCATCGCCTGTTCACACTGCGGTTCTTTTATTTCTGCAGTTGCACTCTTAAAAGAACGCGCTCAACATCGCCAGTGTCACCTGTCCGCATCGCCAGCATCGCCTGTTCGCACTGCGGTTCTTTCACTTCTGCAGTTGCACGCTTAAAAGAACGTTCTCCACATCGCCAGCGTCACTTGTCCGCTTCGCCGGCATCACATGTTCCATTCCTGCTTCCCACAGCCCAGCTTACCATTTGGCAAGCATGTGTGCAGTGCTGAGGGCGCGCTTGGCCAGGTGTGCTTACCGCTGGCAGGCGTGTGTGCTGCGCTGAGCGCACTTGAGCAGGTTTTCCCACGGTAGCACAGTAGCAATGGTAGTAATAGGCAGAGTCATAGTCATGTCATAGTCATTGTCATTGTGTGTACTATAGTGGCTATTGACCCAACTGATCTGAGCACTGTTTTGATGAAAGCCAGTCAGCATCGTCAGCCAGTTCACGGCTGTGGAAGCCATTGTGCGGGCGTGTTTTTAGCTGGGTGTTTCAACTGTTGCATTAGAAGTGACAGGGCGCGGGGTAGCTGTTTCCGCCGGCAGGCTTTTCCTGACATCATGCGCTGGGGGCTGGAGTGGGATGAAACTTCGCAAAGGACTATCACCAGGCAAGGGATTGCCAAATCGGATGGCGTGTATCCCATCCTAGTGTCACGATGCGAGGCAGTGTTTTGTAAGGATGGGGTCATGGCTGCTGCTTCTGGTGTATTTCCTCCAGTTGCGCTCCATGGAACAACAGCAGAGCAAATTTGGGGTGGCATTTTGAAATCGCAAGGTCGGTCGCCATTAGACATGGCCAACTTTACTCAGTGCTTCATTTTGGGCTTGATTTCTGATGCAGCACCAAGCAACATTTCTTTGGTGAAGCAGTTGAGAAGGGCCAGGCCGCAAAACTGCATCTTGGTAGACATTCAGTGCCTTGCGCATCAAACGCATCTTTGCTCAGCTCCACTGTGGACCGGGCTCGGGTTTTTGAGCAACATGTTCTGCACCACCAATGTCTTGCTGTCAGCGCCCCAAAGTGGAAATGTTTGGTTGGACTTGCAGACAATGGCGATGAGGCTTGTCCATGAGCGGTTTCGGGTGGTTTACAGCCCACCCAACCCCGAACACAACAAGTTCTCCGAACTTGTGGTGAAGATGACCTTGCTTGACGGGCTTGACGCGTCCGATGTGCAGAGTGCCAGGACAAGAGACCTTGCTGCGCAGCTACTGAGAATTTTCAATGGGGACTGGACCTCTTTGCAAATTTACCACCACTGCAAGCTTGGGTGTGGATGTTTGTCAGAGTTGGATAGCCTGGCGCGCGCTAAAGCAGCTGTCGCAGAGGTACTTTTTTCGCGCAAGCCATCAATCCCTGCAATATCACGCTGGACTTCATGTGTGAAAAGCTCAAGATTCTACTTCCTTGCCAACTCCTGCCACCGCTTGCTCAGTGAATCCTTCCAGCGCCTGTACCCGTCGTCTAGGCAGTCGTTTGACGAGCAGGCTGCAAAGGGCAGTTTGGTTCCAGTGAGCGAAGATGAACTTCCCTGCATGCCATCTTCAGAGTCAGCTTTGTTTCAGCGGAAACAACGACACAGAGCCAAGCGCGCCCATGGCTGGCTGGTTTCACGTTCCATGACGCTTGAGGTTGCAGTGGCCACCTTGTTGACTTCTACGGCTGACCGCTTGCTGTTTTGGATCTTCAGCACTCAAGCCGATCAGGCGCACAAGTCTGCAGACGCAAGATCTTTGCCATTGGTGCAGCTCGCAGGTTCGCAATCTCCAGCAAGGGCAAGCATTGACTCACTCTGCAAGTTTCTTTCCACTGAACAGCAAGGCCCGTGCGAGAACCAGCTGGTATTCATTGCCCAACGTCTCAGAGGCGCAGATGCTTTTTCGACTGACTCGGCGTTCTATGGTTTTCTGCAGCAATGCGTGCTCATGTTGATTGGCGAGATCTACGACCGCGTGGTGCAGCCATTTACTGCCTGGCCACGACGGCTGGCGCTGCTGCTGGGCGACAACATGTCACATGATGCTCGAGCGCAAGTCGCCACGGAGTTTACCCGCGCAAGCCCTTGCTGCTTGGATGAAGGCATCTCACTTGCCATTCGGGCGCGGCGCCAACAGCCTGATGATCTTTTGCAGCCAGACGCCCGACGCCTTCTACACATGGTATTCAGCCAGAAGATCAGCAATATTGCTTGCGAAACAAATTTTGCCAGAGCTGGAGCGCAGCATCGGGTACAGGCCGGTAAAACAGCTTTGCTGGGATCTATGGCTGCGAAGCATGTGTTATCAGAGCTGACGTCACAGACTAATCAGCGCATAACCGAATCTATTCCAGCTGTGGCTGCGCGTTCGTCGTCAGACTCAAGAACTGTTAAGCTATTGCCGGGGCTGGGGCATCACGGTGTGACGCCGCCCAGTCATTCAGACAAGCAGGTTCACAAGAAAAAGACCAATGGCTGGTTTCTGTTTTTGGCGGAGCAATGCCAAGTTCAAGTGCCAATGCCAGGGGAAACCAAAAATGATGCTAGACTGAGAATTGGCAAGGATGCCCAGCTGCGCTGGTGGCAAGATGTTGATTTGAGAAGAACCTACTCTGCAAAAGCAAAGTTTTTGAACCGACGGGAGGCAAAGCAGCAGGGCCATTACACCGCCCTCGTCCGAGTGTCTGATGAACTCGCACTTCCAGTTCCAGGCAGCCTTGGCCAACCGATTTCCTCTTTGACCCTGCCGAACAAGGGTGGTGCAGGTGGCTCTACGCTTGACGTTCTGCCTTACAAGCCGAGCGGTTGTTGGGGCATTGGCGACACCAACCACGGAATTGCGCTTGGTATAGTGGAGTCCACAATCACAAAGAATCGACCAACCCGTGATGCGATAATTTCAACTTGGAAGACGAACTACAACGCAGTTTGCCCGCCTACAGCTTGGTGATGGCAAAGAACCTCAAGAAGATCTTGCCGCGGGTGAATGATGTCATCAAGATGGCTGTCAACGCAGCTGAAGCGTTTGGACGTTCAGCTGACATGTTTGAGGAATACAAGTTTGTGGTTGAGAAACAGAAGGAGATCCTGTCGCTCCTCACCACATGCACCATTTGCAAGATCCTGGCTTCAGATGCCAAGCCTGACGCCAAGAACCAGCAGTTGAACCAGTGCATGCAGCTCGTCAGAGATGAGAACTTGCATGTGCCTCCTGATGTGCAGGCGCGCGCGACAAGCGATTGCAAGTGAGAGCTTGCCGCATTTTGTGTTGTTCATAGTCTCCGCTTGGGTGGTCGACAGCGATACCCACGCATGGTTTCCTTTCCATTTACTAGGGCGTCATCAGCCCGCAATTCATTTTGCATTCTTGATGTCGGCGATTGAGGAATGTTTCGTCGGCAGTGGTATCCCTTGTGTGCGCTGCACACAAGCCGCCTGGTTTCCGTTGCAGCAGCAACCGTACTGAATCATGAATCATGTGTCTTTTGAATCTTTCAAAGTTTTTTTGGAGCACCCGTCAATCGCACCAACCTGTTCAGTTTGACCTGCAGAAGTCTGAGACCGTGATGGCACACGGCTGCTGCCAACTGAGGGAATCGGCTTAGCCTTAGCTGTGTGTCTTGCCTGGCCGCTTTCATGTTGTGTGTGTGGCCAAAAGACACTGCTATTGTGACTGGTAGATCCATGCCACCCACCGTAGCGCAAACCGTTTGGTGAACAACATGTCTTCAAGGTCTAACAGTTGTCAAACACCACATGAACTTTGCGACACCTTTGAGGGAGCCTTTGTCAGCCACGCTCAAATGCTGGAAACGCAGGCCAAACTTGATAATGACCAGGGTCTGAAGGGGCCAAGTGAGACCAAGGCGTTCTGCCGCCTGCATGTGTTGAATCTGCCATTTTGACTCCTTACTTGAGTCCGTCCGCTGACGGCCCTGACGGCCCTGAAGCTCCGCCCGGACGATCTCATGGTTATTGGGCAGCAAGTAGTCGATCGCCGGCTTGCACGAAAGCTCAAACTGCTCAAGCAGCTCCTTGCTGGTGTCCAGTTGCGACTCTGCGTTTCTGACCTTCTGAGTGTGAAGGCCGCGGAAGTAGTACCGGACACGTCGCTGTGGAACACCAAAGCGTGGGCTCTCCACACGGACAGCGTCAGCCGCATACCCGTGGCTGCGGAGGTCGTTCAACACCTTGTCCATGTTCGTTGGCTGGGGCAGCGTCCCATCTGCAGACTTGGAGGGGCTGGCTGCGATGTGCTCAACATTCTCCATGATGACCACAGCCGGCTTGCACCGTGCAATGATGCGCATGGCGCCGTTGTAGGTCTTCAGCGAGCAGCTTTTCTCGATCTGCTCAGGCGTTGGCTGGTTGAGCAGCGTGGTTGAAGAGGCGGAGTGCACGTTCATCGCTGAGAAGCTTTTGCAACTGAAGCCAGCGCAAAAAACGTCGATGTCATCGCCATTGTCACGAGTGGTGTCACACGCCGAGGCCTGGTGGCCATGGGCAACGCAGCGCATGGGGTCCTCACTCACATCAGCGAAAAGGTGGCACCCTTCTTCAAAGCTGCGGCGGTGGCAAGACTTCAGGAACTCCTGCTTTAATTTTTTGCTCTCAGCCATGAACCCGACCTTCAGCTCCAACTGCCTCGCAAAGACGCCCGTGTCTTCGTCCTCTGTCAAAGCGTCCACAAAGTGTAGCAGGGCTTCCTCCGCAGCGCCCGTGCCACTGCACGCTGTGCCAAGCCTCAATTGCCTTGGCCATGAGCTGACTTGCTTGCCAAGGCTGTCAATGCCGAGCACGTGCTTTGCTTGCTGAACAAATGCTGAGGCTGCCTGTTGCAGCAACGTGTCCTCCTGCCAGGGCACCAGCGCAACCTCCGGAAATGAACTTGAGCTGCCCTGCGACTGGAGCACATCATCAACAGAAGCAGTGCCATCACCTGAGGCGCAGCGGTCAGTCACGGGCCACATGGCCACATCGTTTGTCAAAAGGATGCTCCCAAACCGATTAGCGCATGGTAGTACAGATGCAGATTACCGGTGGCTACGCGGTGATCGCAACAAAGTTACAAACGGAAGTCTACCAAGTTTGAGTCTGAGGATCTGATCTCAACGATCTCAACTATCTGACATTATCTCCATTGACTCCTACTCGGTCGCATTCTTTCTGCAACTCCCGTGTTCGAAACAACCAACCAAGGATGGGATGCCAAATGCAAACAGTTTGGTTAGGTTAGTTAGAAAAGTTGACTTAGACAAGAGCTACAGCCAAATTTCAAGAGATGCAAGCTAAAACACGTCTCAAGCGCTGACTTGCGCAACCCGCTTCGACCCAAACAGTTCAAAACTCGACGGCGGGCCTACCGTCAATTACTTGCCGAGGCTGCGGCAAAAAAGACTTAGAAAGGTTTCGGCCCAAACTTGCCTGCAAGCGCTGAAGGCGCATGACCATCGCCAGGCTGACGCTCAGCAGGTTGCTCTTGTTGACGAGCCGGGTGTTGAGGAGCGGCAGCAAGTAGGCGACCGAAACCAGTTCCCTCAAAGTGTTGAGGACGGCCATCATGCTGTTGAAGATTGGCGGCAAGAAGGCAGCCATCACCAGGGCGACGCTCTGCGGGTAGGCACTCAGCAGGAGGAAGGCAAACTTCACCAGGCTCACGCTCAGAGGGTCGGTCTTGTCGGCAAACCGGGCCATGACCAGGCTCACGCTCAGCGGGTTGCCCCTCAAGGCGTTGAAGATCAGCGCCGTCACCGCCAGGATGGGTAAGAGCAGCAAGAAGGGGTTGGTCTAGTTGACGACCATCGTGGGCAGCTACGCGTTGAACATCATGCTGTGGGAGGGCAGCGAAAAGGCGACCATCATCAGGGCGATGCTCTGCGGGTAGGCGATCTGCAGGAGGTGGGCAAACTTCACCAGGCTCACGCTCAGCGGGTTGGTCTTGTTGACGAGCATCACGGGCAGCAAGGGCAGAGTCACCAGGGCACCGTCGCCGCCAGGATGGGCATCAGGCTGTTGGAGAGCAGCAAAAAGGCGACCATCACCAGGACGATGCTCTGCGGGTAGGCGATCTGCAGGAGGTGACCAAACTTCACCAGCCTCACGCTCAGCGGGTTGGTCTCGTTGACGAGCATCACGGGCAGCAAGGGCAGAGTGACCAGGTCCTTCAAGGCGTTCAAGATCAGCAACGTCGCCGCCAGGATGAGCATCAGGCTGTCGGAGAGCAGCAAAAAGGCAACCATCACCAGGGAGAAGCTCTGCGGGCGGGCGATCTGCAGGAGGTGGGCAAACTTCACCAGGCTGACGCTCAGCGGGTTGAGCTTGATGACCGTCACCGGCCCGGCTGGCACTCACAGTCTCATCGAGGGCTCGCGTAGTATGATGGTCTCTCCTCTGAAGAAGGTCGCCAGAGCTGTTGGCGTTGGCTGCGCTAGGACACAGTTGCACCTCATTGGCGGGCACTGTCTCTGCCAGTGTGTCCTGCATGTTCTGGCTGGTGGGAATCTCGGCGGTTGGCGCAACAGGCGGCAACGCTGATGGCAATGTTGAACATGCGACAGGAACCTCCGGGCCCACCGGTGGATGTCGTGGTATTCACCAGGGTCAACAGGTCGAAGTGGTGGAGTGGACTCCGCCTTAGACTTGGGTTTCGCTTTAGCCTTCTTGTCTGCTGCCTTTGGCTTTGGTGTAGCCGCACGTTTCGGCATTGCTGACCATGTGCAAATCAAATTGGAGCGTTCTCAAAGTGCGACTGCCTTGCCTACTATGTGAATGTCAATGCGGCTGCTATGTCATGTGTCAACGCGCGCGCTCCCTGACCTGTCAACGCCCACGGGGCGAATGGCGACTCATTCATTGATTCAATCCGCAAATGAAGTCAAAGTTCGACTGGCCCAAGTCCAAGTGGCACTGTCAAGACTCAAACTGCGAATCAATTAACAATGGACGTGACGGGGAGGCGCAAATATGCGCAATTGCGAAATGACCTTCAGCCATCAGCGCCAACTCCGAAGTGGAGTTCATTGACACATCGCAGATTCTTGAGTGGCAAATAAAGCTTTTGCTTTGCCGCTTTGCAATACTTTCAACCTCAAAGCTGCATCTAGTGGAATTGTCAGTTTTCGGATTGTGTTCCCCCGCTCGGTCTTTCATCTTTGTTTTGGAGCATGCAAGTAAGGACCGTGTCCACAGCGGAAGTGGTGCCGACCCTCTTGCCGGGCACGCGGCTCTGGTCAGTGTCAAGGGGCCGCCTCTTGACCGGATTTGAACATATGGCCTTGCAGGGCTTGGATTTTGATCACGATCATGTGGAGGGCAAGTTTGCAGAATTCTCCTCACAGCATTTGGCCGATTTAGCCGGCAACGGCTTTACTGGGCCAGCATTTCTCTCAGTGGCGGCCTCTCTCCTTTCCCTCGCAAGATGGGATCGGCGTGATGCCGCTGACCTTGATCTGAACGAAGAGATCAAGTTTTTGCAGGCGTCAGCGTCAGCGTCAGCTGGACTGTAGAGCATGGGCGGGAAAAAGATTCGCCTTGAGGCGCTGCTCAGGACTGGCTGCGGCTTTGAGCCAGATTTCCCACTCGTTGAGCCCGAACGGCTTGAGTTTCTATATTGTTGAGTGGCCACGGCTTTAGGCACACTTTTGATGAACTACGCAACATTCATTTACGTAATATCGGCAACAATATTTACGCAGCCCTGGAATTACGTTAGCCAGCATTTACGTCAACCATGTGAACACATTCTTAACAAAGGCCTTTTGGGTTAAGATAATAAGAATAATAATACTAATAATAATAACAATGCTAACAATAATAATAATAATGCTAATAATGATAATAATAATAAACATCAAAATGATAATAATAATAATAAAATAGAGGGCGGGTCGGCATGGGGGCTGAGTTTTTCAGATTCCTGGGGGCTGAGTTTTTCAGATTCCTGGGGGCTGAGTTTTTCAGATTCTTGGGGGCTGAGATGTTCCATTAAAAACACTAAAAAATACGATCAAGACCCGTGACCTCTTAGATTTATTGGGGTGCGTTTTTTGTTTTTTTGGCTGATGACATGCAAGCACAGATTCATTTTCGATCCAATGAAGACTCAGATGCATCCAGACCTGGAAAATGAGCTAGCTTCAATCTGCACAGAAGACAGCCTGTTGAGAACTATTTTGCACAAATATCATTGTTGGACACAAATATTTAGCAAACGTGTGTCTGTAGCTTATTTTTGGATAATTGGCATGCTTACGCATGCCAAGTTTATAAACCTCAGGGTGCTAACTTTTGGAAGACGTATGTTTGGCACAAATCTTCAACACAAGTTGCATACGTATGCAATATTTTGGAAGACGTATGCTTAGCAATCTGCAAGCAGATGTATGTTGGGACAAATATTATTGTTGTGTTGCAATTCTGAAACACGTAAGTATGGCAAGCACAGCTTGCCACGCATATGAAATCATAAGAAAGGTAAGATATCGCTGATCTATGCAGCTTTCAGCTGCAAGACTCAGCTCTTTTTACACTTGGATGTTCAATATTTTTCAATATACGCATGGGCTCTGCCCATGCTCTTGAGAAAACACAGCTAACACAAACATATTTATCGCATAATGAGCTGGAGCAATTGGAGCACAGCTCCAATCTAGTTGCTTGAGCTCAAGAAGCACAAGATGCAAAGATGAGCACCTGCAACGATATCTGCAGATGCAAATAACATTCTCTGCATAAAGCTGTTCAGCTTTGGAATAAGAGCTTTGGAATAAGATTCTCTGCAGCTATTCGTGTTGCTGAAGAGCTCTTGCAACAGTAAAGCTGTTCAGAATAGATTCAAGTAGACACAAGCCACAAGCAATTGCTTGTGATGAGATGTTACCTGCAGAAGATGAAATGAGAGATGAGATAAATTATCTCCAGTTACCTGGGGTTACCTGCAGAATATCTTGGAAGAGGCTTATGTTCTGTTGATACACATCTCATCATATTATTGATGTCTTGCATCAAGAAAGCTTGCATCCAGAAAGCATCACCAAAGTATTGTCTTCAGATGATGGGCTGTGTTTTTTTGTTTTTTTGGTTTCTTGGTGTTTATGAGCAAAGGCACCAAAAAAAAACAAGACCCATGGCCCTGAACTAGCAGATGCAGATGGTGGGCTGTGTTTTTTTGTTGTTTTTTGTTTTTTGCTGAAAAAACCTCCGCCCCCAGGAATCTGAAAAAGTCAGCCCCCAGGAATCTGAAAAAACTCAGCCCCCATGACGACCCCTTCTGTAAACATAATAACGCTAACAATAATAATAATGCTAATAATGATAATAGTAAAAATCAAATGATAATAATAATAACAATAATAGTAATACTATTACTAATACTAACAATAATAACAATACTAACAATAATAATAACAATAGCAATAACAATAACAATAACAATAATGAGAATAATAATGGTATATAATAATAATACTGCTGCTGCTGGTACTGCTGCTGCTACTGCTGCTACCGCTAGTTTTTTTGACATAGTCCACATTCCAGGCAACAGCTCCTCAGTTGCAATGCTTCGATGTGTGGCATTTGTCAGGGCGCTGATCAACAGTTCCTTCAAGGATATCCAGAATCCAAGGATACGTTTTTAGCATGTGGGTGCATTTTGTGTGAGAATGGTTTGAAAAGGGAAACCAAAGGACCTCCACCATTTATGGTGGCCCCCTATTTTGACACACAAGCCCATGCAAGTGCCTGACCTCGCAAGCGCCTCGTTACTTGCTTGAGCCCAACACACACTGGTTAAACATCGCATTCTTCCCAGAACAGCCTTGGCCCAATGCCTGGGCACTTGCCAAGAATACATCGCCACAACCACATGAATGGCTGGACTTCATGAGGCTCATCCGGTGTCTTCGAAAGGGATATCCGGGGAAAGCAGTGCCCAGGGTAAACGGCTGATGCGGCAGATAAAGATCATACTACTGTTGCTTTTACCTGACACTTTCCAGGGCCCATGCCATGGCCTCCGCTCATTTCACGTGTCCCGAAATGGGTCAAGAAGCCGAGCAGGTACCCGGCAGTCTCGAACCTTTCTAGCAGCGCACGCTTCCAGCTCCTGGTCGATGAGGCAAGCCAAGGCTCTCCCTCCCCCCAAAAAATGACAAAGAAGGTGTGCCAGGTTCCAACAAAGCCATTCCTTCACAGTCATGAAGCAGCTTTCTCCCATGGTGCCCGAACTTTCGAATCGGTTGGCATCATGTGTGGCTGGCTCTGTAAAGTGAACTCGTCCAGGAGTCCAGCGATTCTTCAGGATTTCTCGATGCAGTTGTTGGGCTTATCATGACTTTTGGAAGTTGGGACGAAATTGGTAGGCTGGTTTGTTCTTGCTTGGTTGGTTGCTTGCTTGGTTGGTTGGTTGGTTGGTTGGTTTGGTCGGATGACTTGTGACGGCTTCAGAACGAAATTGCCTTGGCCAGGCCGCTGCGGAGTGCGAAAAATGCTCAGTGCCAGGGATCGAGGATCAGGGGAGCGGGAGGATGATCCTTCCAGTCATCATCTATATATGGTCAAAATTACATCACCAGGGGACTGCAGGGTTTATTGCCAGGCTTCCATTTTGGATGCCCACAGCCATTTGGCATTTTCGCTTGGATTTCTCAAAATGGGCAACGTGGGGCTTTGCTGTTGATGGGCAACATTTGGCGATTGGGACATAGCTACATGATGCATGCTTCTCTTTGGCAAGACTGCATGAGTCGTGTTTGTCATGGGCACTACATGTTCTGTGCACAGGCTTCATGGGGGCTTCACCAGGTCCAGGTCGACACAGCAGCCAAAGCCATCAAGCTGGCATGCACAGCTGACACAGCTTTTCGCGTTTAGTGCAACATGGGTGCAACAAGAATCGAGAGGCTGCTAGCCATGAGCTTCAGGCATCTGAACCAAGGCGAGAAAGCAAACACTGCTGTTTATATCATGTTAGAGGGAAGCCAACCATTTGGAGATGCCCTACGAACCCCTATCCACACCCCGGCAACCCAGACCCCATCACCCCATACGCAAACTCAGACTCCTGTTGCTTTCTGGACCCCGAACTGGTATGTATAACACAATCCGCCCAGACTCACTCCCCAAAACCGGCTTCCTCCAAACAGCCATTCTTGTTCTTGTCTCTCTCTCTCTCTCTCTCACCAACAAGTTTTCAGTTTCTGGGAGGGCCGGGGTTGGGCTCCACGCGCATCCGCGCGCCCTTCCGCGCCCATGGCGCCCGTGGCGCCACCGGAGCCGCGGGCGCTGGAAGTGCAGCACTTTGGGCCGGAGGAGGAGGAGGCGTATGTGGAGCACTTCCGCCCCTGGGCAGCGCCTATTGCGCGGGGGGAGGGGTCGCAAAAAGGGGTTGAAAGCGCAGAAGCGCGACTGTTTTTTTGTTGGTTTCGACCTTTGGGCCCCTCAAGAATGTTTGCAAGGTATCAGTTTGGACAAGCTGACATGTGTTGGAGCCCTGTGACCAACATTTCAAGCCCCTCCAAAGCAGTTTGCCGGGACACCCAGCTCGACAAGGTTTGCCACACCCTCTTTTTGGGAAGCCAGAAAGTGAAACCATCCGGAGTTGGGACCCATGTTGTGACGAGGAACTTTCTGTTGGATAGACATTTGTTGTGCTGCCTCATACTGCCTCTCTCTGTGTGTATCCATGCTATGATGAAGCGACATACACATACGCCCCTGCTGCCTTCAGTGCTTAACTTCGACCCCAGAGACTTTAACACTACAAAGGGTCATGAAACCTTGATGTTGTTTGGCAGCTACTGCGCTTGACTCCCCTGAATGAGGTGAAGTAAGTCGATGTTTAAGCGCACTTGAAGCACATACTCACACACATATGCCGTGCAAGAGGTTACCAGAATTCCCGTAAACCTCAAAGAGACGAGGCTCAGCCAAACCAATGAGCAACAGCCAGGGAACTGCCTGCCATTCCGGTCATGAGGTGTTTGTAGGTGGCCAAGCGAAGAACACATGCGACCGGGTCGCCGGGTGAGGGGAGCACGGCTTCGTGGTGGTGAAGTCAGTTCTCGAAGAAGCGGAGGCCCCGCGATGCGGGGATGTGTGGGGATTTAATATGGAGAAATTATGAACTGTTATGGCACATTGTTTTGATGGTCCAATCAACGGGGCAAAACTCGCATGTCAACACAACGTGTCCTGGCTTTCGAACAGCCTATGATCAGCTTTTGGCTGTTCCTGGGGTCTCCTCCAATATGTTGTTGAATATGTCAAGAGGGTAGACCAAACATCTAGCATAATTTTCCTGAGTTGGGCCGAATGAACTTGAGCAGACCTGGCCTTCTCTGACCTTCTTGCAGAGGGGGCCTGGTCCACATGTATCTGACACAGCTCAGTTTGTCTTTTCTTTTGGCGTTGCCCTCCCTTCAACGTGAAGAACTGGCGGCAGGGTTTCGACAACCCGCCACGGCGAATCAGCTGCCCCAGTCCAGTTGAAGTGCCTGCTCGGTGGCGGGTTTTGCCCGTTTTGAGCGTTTCATGTCTGTTCCATGTTGTTTAGGCATCCAAAGGGGTCTCCAGGATCCCAAGCTCGTCCTTGCCTGCCAGAAAATGTGTGGCTTTCCCGTTGGAGTTGGTTGTGGTTTGGAGAGTTCCTGGAGAAAAACCTCCAAACAGGCGGTTCATTCTCCACGCGTTTTCCCGAAACGCCTTCCCCAAAATGGTACCTTGAGGGAACCTCCAAAACGCGCGGTGGCCTCAGATCAAATCGCGCCCTCGAGCGACCGGACTTTGTTGGCAGGTGGAGGCAAGCATCCGGGAGGTCTGGCAAAGCCCCAGTCTCCTTGGCGGCCAAGGGCCCAAAGAGGAGGAGGGGGGGGTCATTGGGGGGGGGGGGTGATTTGGGGGGGTGATGGGGAGGGTGATGGGGGAGGGGGTGATGGCTGAGGGCTTTGAGGCTAACTTTGAGCTTGATTTGCTTCGAGCACTGCGGCCAGTGTCCTTTTGTCGCTCTTTCAGGCGCGCAACCCTGCGTGTGTTCCGGAGGGTATCCTTTTCGCGATTGGTTTAAGGGGAAGCTCACAGGATTTCGCGGGGTCTCCCGGTCCCCCCCCATGTTGACACCTACACACCCCGGCGCCCCAGGATCCCAGCACCTGGGATGCCTGGCCCGGCGGCTGCCGGAACTTCTTGGATCCCATAGCGACTCGCAGAGACGAGACAACTCGCAGGGGGGTAGGTACTGTACCCAACATGAGTGACGGCTGCTGTCTTTGTCTATGTTCATACTTGATGTGTGTTCTTTGCGTCGTTGGTTTGAGGGGGATTGATATTGCTGTCATAGTTGCTTAATCTTGTTGTTCATGTGTGTGTGTGTGCGGATGATTGGCCAACATAGCACTCCTTGTGTGCTGCTGCGTGTCATGATGACTTGAGACCAGCTCGTAACTTTGCGGTTCTTAGCCATTGTCTTAGGCGTTAACATGTTGAGCGAGATGTATGAGACGGATTTACGGATCCCAATCGAAGTTTAACTCTTGGCAAGGCAGCAAGCAACCACCAAGGCAATTAGTGCCCGTAGGAGCAAGACGCTGCAATTGTTAAGTGCCCCAGGTCTTCTTACTCTTTGTGCAGCATGGTTCCTCACGTACTGTTTGGATGCAACACAGCAACCCTTTCTGGGTTAGGGGGTTGTCCAGTTAACAGATCTGGACCGCCCAGAGCGATGTGGCTGGGTAGAACGCTGAAGGATCTGCTGGAACTGGGATTTGTAGGGCGAGAAGGGAATCCCTTCTGGATGGCGTTCAGCACGATGGGATATTGAAGAGAGACCACAAGGCCAACCGTGTGGGTACCTGCAATGCAACCATGTGGGTATGTGCAAAATTCGCCATCCCAAAATTGTGTTGTCCAATTTGATATCCCATCAGACTCAGGCCACTGAAAAAGGTACCCTCAACAAACACGCGCATTTGTCGGGGGGGGGGGGGGCTTGCTTCTGAGACCACATGTCTTCTCGTCCCCTGCGCCGCGCATTTGGATTTCTCAGGATCCATGTGCAGAAACGCAGACCTGGAAGAACCGGGTGAACCCCAGGGTGAACCGAGTCTTTGATTTGCCCCCTGGCCGGACTGGTGACAGCGTTTTGGGTGTTGACTGGCTAGGCGGGTGCCCATTTGCTGAGCTGCTGTCTTCTTTGGCTACGTCATTTTAGATGAACTATTGTTGGCTTCATGAGCACAAGGATCTGCAAGAACAGTCATCTAGAGGCAAAGATGCATGGTGAAGGCTGCGATCGGGTTTTGAATTCGTGAGTTTGTGGATCCCTTGCCTCAGTGTCAGCCAACCGCTCACATTACTCCATGGCATCTGTTCACTTGCCTTGCGATGTCACAAGCAACGAGCATTGCGTGTGTGCGGATTTCGAATGAATGGCTTGGCCGACTAAAAGACGTTTTGTTTGCAGAATGAACCTGTGAAGCAAAGCACGAATCTCAACTAAGCAAAAAGGCTGGCCTTTCCGCAGGGCAACTGCCGAGCTGAGGGCCATTCCATGTGTTTGAATTTGGTGGAAGGCAGAAGGACGTCTACAGGCACTTGTCAACTTGTTGTGAGATCAAGGACATGCAACAAGAGTATCCCTGGAGGATGTGATATATTGTGATCAATGATGACACGGTACTTCTTGGCCGCGGGTATGTTTGTGCTGGGTGTCTGTGAAAGGATGCGCCTCTGCCAAATTATTTGAGCTATCTAGTCTTTTTGGAAAGGCACACTTTGCCAACTTGCGCACCATCCCCACACACACCGAACATGCGGCACATTTGCTCAACTGCAGACAGCCAGGCAAGAAAATAGCGGAGACTGTTAAAGTTCGAACCGCACATTGCCAGCTCATGCCTACTGTCCGGCACCACACTTCTACAAGCCCAGACATTCGGCAGATTGCTGCTGTGATTTCGTCTTCACACCTGTGTTGTGTTCGTATTGTAGGTGTTGTGGGCTACATTCAATCAGTCCGATTCTTCTTTTTGAAGTGTTGGGGAAGCGCCTGTCAAACAAACGCACCAGCCTAATACAAGCTCGCCGCCCGTTGCGAGCATGAGTCTCTGATCGATGATACTTGATGAAGGTTACGGACGCTTTGCGATTTGCTGTTTAACCTCTCGGACGGGACACCTAGTTCTGTTTTTGTGGTTACACCAAACACAAGAAGTTAACGTGTAAGATCTGTATGTTCGTTCGCGGAGCTCGATTAATGCATGTTTCGCCTCGAGGTTGTGGGAATGCTTCCCGGACGCTGCTCGGCAAATGCAAAGGTGGGCTGCGTTGCCGGACTCAATGTTTGTAAACCCGTCAGGTCAAACCACGGTCACACTCCCAGTTTGTAGACCATTCTCGGGCCATCAGTGGTTGATTGCTCACTCTGCAAAGGATGAAGTCTGTGGATGTTGGTCAATCCGGACTTTGTGTTGATTTCTTCCCCGAAATGCCCATCTCCATTTTGGGCATGCCTCAAAATACAAAAGAAAGGCAGAAAGGTGGCGTTCCTTTTGGTTTCCCTCTAAGCCAAGGCCCAAAAGGGTATGCTGACTCCAACCCCCCAACCCCCCCCCCCCCCCCCCCACCATTTGGGGCCAAGGCCAGCACGGTGAGGTTGACCCTCAGAATCCCCCCCCGAACGATGTACCCCCGATGAAGCTTGTAGTTCGCTTCTGTGGATATCAAGGAAACAAAGCATAGAGATGCAATAAAATCAAAAAAAAACACTTTGTTTTTTGGTTCAGTGAGGGGGAGGGGGGTGGGACTGATCCCATATTCCATGTTGTAGTATTTCAGGCTGAGAATGGCCCAAGCTGTTTGCAGAATTGTCAGGCCCTGCAATCGCACAACCAATTCAAAATCCACCAACCTTATACTGAACCGCACAAACACAATTACTCCAGCTCATGAAATCTTGGCACAATCATGACTGCATACTTGAAAATGATTGTTATAATATATATATATATGTATACATATTCCGCTTCCTTCAAAGATACATACTCCTCCCTTAAGACGGAAATTCCCCTCCGGGCGAACCACTAGTTTCTTTCATAGGCTACCAGGGCGTCCCATGGGTTTCTGCTACAGTCATTATCCAGAATGGATACCCCCCTTTGCCGGGCACAAACACCGTTATTTGTCGTAAATCGACATGGAATCGGTTAAGGCACTTGCTCGTACGTACCGTTCAAGTTAACAAGGCAACATTGAAATTACAACTTAAACTTGGAGTATTATATATATATATACCAGATGCATTGTATATATATATATATATATTCATATATATATACACATGTACTTATGGATCTATGTGTGCAAATCATGACTGAAGATTTCTGCAAGGTTTCCAGAGGCCTCGAGCTTGTCGCCCAGGATCCGGGCGCGAGGTCGGGCTCGCTGGTGATGTCGGTGGACCGTTTGGGCCTCATGCGGCCGGTGCCTCAGCCGCCTCGATGCGGTTTTTGGAAAGACGTGGCTCTGAAAATGGGGGAGCCCCCCTTTTGGGGTGTGTTGAACTTTTAGATCTTGTTGGGGTATGTTAAGGTTTGAGATGTGGTTGGCCTTCGAAAAGGATACACTTGAAGGAAAATGTAAACGCCACAATGCCCCCCTTTTGGTTTTCCATTTGCTTGCCCAGAGAAAGGGAATGGCGCCATCTCCCTGAGGTGGGGTTGTTTGTTGCTTTGGGAATGGGAAGGTCCCCAACTGAAAAATGGTCAACCCAAAAAATCGGTTGCAACAGTCACTAAATACATATATATATATATTCAACACCATGGACTGCGGACTCACACAATAACAGAAAGAGGACTTTCTCGCCTCAGGGGGACAAGGAACGTTGGTTGCGGCTCATACACCACTGATAGAAGGAGTATGTGCTGCCTTAATAGGACCATACCCCTTTAAGGGTTGTGTGCCTTCAAGCCCGCAGCTGAAGATTATCTCAAAAAGGCTGGCCACGTCATCCCAACTTGGAAAGCCGCGGTTTGGTCTCCACTTGATGGTTCCAGTGGTATGGGTCAGCCTGAGTCAAGCTTCTCAAGTTTTGGCAGCCGTCTCAACGGGGGGGGGGTTCTCAGAGGACACCGCTTGTTGGGTCCTTTGAGGAAAAACAAAAAGGAAATCACATCCAGTTGGAGATGAGATGTGGTTCCGGGCCTTTTGCGAGTGAGGCCCACGAAGCTGTGGAGGGACGGTTCCTGGGAGGAGAGGCAGGGGCTGTGCGGTGTTGGGAGGGCGCAATTCAACTTTGACTGGGACATGGGATGCTGGTCTATGCGCGACCATTGGTTTTTGGCTTCGACTTTCAAGATGTTCAAATCTACATCCGTAGATGTTAATGTTAGCTTGTTTGGGCCTGTTTGGGTGTAAACTTTGCCTGTGGGTGTAATCAGTATTGCAAATCAGAGATGTCAGATCCATTTTTTCAGGGGAAGATTCCAGTTTCAATCGGCGGGGCAGTAGACATTGGGCTTTGGTTTGGTGTGCAGTCCGCAAAGATGTGTATCCATATATGGTCCAGTGTCTATGGTCCATACCATGGGATGGGGGGGGGCGCAATCACGGGTCACGAGACCATATATGTGTGTATATGCATATACATATATTCGAGCCCGGGATGCGGCACATTCGAAATTGGTTACTAGCACGGATCGTGACCATGTCTTACCGTCCCTCTGTCTCCAGAGGCACCTTGACGCGGCTTGATGGGATGGGGTCAGGCCGGAATGGCGCACGAGCCGCAACTGGTTGCACTGGGACCAGAACCCCTGGCCGCTCGTCATTTGATGTGCTCCTTCAGGAGATGTAGGTGCTGCGGCCGTACTTTGAAGGTTTCGACGTAAAAAAAGATTGGGCTCGCTTGGTTCTGGAATCTCTTGTCCAGGGTCCGAGCAACATGCAATGACCTGGTTCCAGTATGTGCTGGTTGTGTCAGGGTCGCAAGAGGTTCCAGTTCAGGATAGATAACCGATTGTGACTAGAAATGATCCAACCAGGCCGGACCCTGCCACAGCTGGTTGTGACCCAAATGCCGCATGTCTTTGGAGGAGTGTCCAGACCTGTTTTAGAGCTTTGCCTCCGCATCTCAGCCCCGGCTGGTGGCTTGCGCCCAAGTTCGGAATGTTCGGATTGGTTGACACCTTCGGTGTCCGACCGTGGCCGAGGGGAGCGTTTTTGAAAGAGGGGTGCAACAGAAGTGGATGGACCCAGCGAGTCCACCGGAGCCGAAGGAAGCTTCCAGCAAGCACCACGCCGAAGCTTCGTGGGGATTTCGCCGTTTTGGGGCGATCCAGCGACGCTTCAAGGTCCACGCCCGACTTCGAGGCCATGCAGGGCTTGCTGTGCCTTCAAGGCACGGGTAGGGATGCCTGCAGTCAGCGCAAAAATTGCTCGCCAAAGGTTTTCCTTTTTCACGCGTATATTGCATGCACTCTACTGTGTATGTGTGTTATGCCCCTTCCTGTAGGCAACCTCATTTCCACCATGGACAAACCTCCCGTTGTTCAGCGGCACCCTCGAAATGCCTCTGTATTTGGTGGTGTCCCCATCAAAAATGGTGTCAACAACACCACAAAGCGCTGTTTTTGCTGGGGGTGAGGGGGGGGGGGGCGTCACGGGGGAACCTTGGATTTGTCTTCTATTGGAACACCTTGTCACCAGGTTGAAGAGGTTTGGAGCTCACCAAAGGTTCTGTGCATCTCACATGCCGTTGTCGAGGTTTGACTCGAGTCGCTGAAAGCTCCTCGGTTCTCCCAGTGTTCAACTTGGTTGGTGCAACATCAAGCTGGATAATGCAGTTATCGCAACCAGTGGTGTGCCATGAGTTTCGTCTTGGGGGGTGCAGCCATACCTGTTGGCAGAGGGCCCATAGACATTTATACCCCTTCGAGAAGGGGTGGGGGGTGTTGTTGCTCTGGGTTTAGGGTTAGACATTGGTGAAAACTCATGCCATCCAACTGGCAGCTAGGCGACTGCGAAAGCTCCGGGGGCTTCGTGACAGTGCCGGGCTTCCAGCGGCGGTTCCGAGACTGGGGCCAGCGATGCCCGGAAGGTGCCGCTGGATGCACACCGTCCGAGGGCTTATCCTTACCTTCAAAACCCAGGGTGACCAGCATACCTGGACCCACCGTGGGCACATTTTTTGGGACAGTCCGCCTAAATCCGTCCGTTTCTCGGAAAAGCGTACGTGGCAGCAAAAAACGGTCCGTTTCTTACGTCGTCCTTCCTTTGCAATGCCACATAAAAAAAAACAGTCCCCTTTTGCGTCGCCCCGCTTCAACATCTTTGGCCGAAACGTTGAGATCTGGCTCGTTTTGAACTGCCTCCATAGAAACTTACGCTTGCACAAGGGCCCTTGCGGGTCAAAACCGTTTGCGGGAAGCCTTGCGGCTTTGCCAACAGCATCCTCATTCATTTGCTTCGCAGCTATATATGACAAGTGCGCAAGAACAATCCATCAAGGAGCTGCTGAGGTCTTGTTTTAGCCTGCACGAAATGAAGGCAACAAAGCTCTTATTTACAAACAGCCCGCCGGGTCCTAATAGTCTCTGTAGACCACGCTCGATGCTCGTATTTCACAAGCCCATAAGAATTCGACATGCTTTCCCAAAACTCTTGACGGATGCACGTAGCTTTGCGTATTTGAGTCTACAGCTTTTAAGGGAAGCAGGAAACAGTTGCTGGGACTTTCAGCTAAGGAGCTTCACCCATGGCTTGAGTTCTCAAAGATTCCGCACGCGACAAAATGAACACAGCGCGTGAATCATAGCTTTGCACAATCTAGGTTCCCATGACCACAAGACCCGTAGACACCAGGTATTATTGGAATCCGTTGTTTTCCGTCCGTTTCCCGTCTTTTTCCGTCCGTTTCCCGCCGTTTTCCGTTTGTTTTGTGTCTTCCAAAGTTAGACACACTTTGCAACATGTTGCATGAACACATCAAAGGAGGCAAAATAATTAGGTCCGCCTTGCGCGGCCGCTCTCAGAGCTCAACAGGTAGGCAATCTCAAAACGTTGGTGGATATTGAGCTCCTTGCAGCCGTTGGCAAATCGACTTACACCAGTTTATGCGCATCTGAGTGAATGTTCTGGTAGCCCTTCTGGTTGAACATGTTCAGATATCGTTCGCTCGTGGCTACTGGGACGGGCCACAAGGGTTTTTTGTCGTAGAAGCAACGCACACCCCAAGTCTTGCGTTTGACAGGTTCTTTGCAGGGGCAACTGGGAAGTCGTCAAATCTTGCATGGGGGAGAGATGTTGGCATGCAATACTCTGTTGTGACAACATGTGACAAGGTGTGTGGCCCTGCTTACTTGATTTGCGCTATAGAACCTCTGACTGCACTGCAGCTGGCACAAAGCATTGATGCAGAATGGTACCAGGGGGTGCACCTGAAAGGGTTTTGTTATATAGAAAACAAGTGGAGCAGGCAGGCAGTTGGTCAAAAGCTTTGCAACGGAAGCATGCAAAGACATAGCCTCCGCAAACTAGCTGTAAAGAAAGAACAACAACTGCCTGAATTCCTCCATTGCTGTTTTCCGTCCGTGGGTCCTCAGAGTCAGCTGACGGAAATTTGTGGCACAGACGGAAATTTCCATGCTTTAGGAAAGTCCAGGTATGGCAATGGGTCAAAACCAATGGTACCATTTTGGGGTAGGTGCACCACCCATTTTAGTCTATTTTAGTGGGGATTGGGATGTTCACTGAGGGTTCGGAATTTTGACCCCATATGTGTCCTATTTAGGTCAGCTTGAAATGGATAGGTTCTGCAGGGGTTTGTTTGGTTTGATTTTCAGCGGCAATACATGTTTTTGGCCAAAGCAAGGGTTGGAGGATGTTGGAGGAAGAACGGAAAAGGAATGCTCCACAAAAGCAGAACCTGCCCTCGGTGTTGCTGTGGGAACGTTGAATGGATGACTTGAAGCAACTCCCATGACTACTCCCCAAGAAGGTTGTCGAGTTCATAAGTTCCACTAGTGTCAGTTTGGTTCGATGATCATTTCAATCAGCACAATCCATGCTTTTTCCCCAACAGCTGAACTTGGCCCAGGGTAGTTCGGGGCAGCTTTCAGGGAGGGCTCAAAAGGAGGGTTCCAGGGCTGTTGCGGATGCTACCTGGGCTTTTGGCCTTTTTGTTTCCCGCTTGCAACAACCCCCGCGATGACTCCCCAAAATGGTTCCCAGAGGGTCCAAGTACCTTCTAAGGAGGTACTTAGATCGACCCCTTTTCGCCTCCCAAAATCCATTCTCATGAGGTACTTGGACCCTCTGGGGTTGTTTGCCTGTGTGTTTCCCTCGAAACCAAACGGGTCTGCCAAAGCGGGTGCCCGGTCGTCAGACTGCCGGAGGCAGCCTCGCCAAGCGCAGCTCCACGATGATCCCCTTCCCAGTGCCCCTGGAGGATGAGATCCAGGCGCTTCCCGGGGGACCAAGGGACATGCCCCAAAAGCTATGGGAAAATGTGTGGTTTTATATAGGGGGAAGGGATGCGCTGGGTAAGACGTAGACTATCGTAGACCCGTCCAAGGGAAAGGCTCTAAAAAGAACGCAAGAAGTGATGGTGGTTTCTGGTTTCCGGTAGGCCCCTTGAACAAGCCCTTTGCGGGCAGGGCCAGCCGCGGCAGACGTGGAAAAGGCGAACGAAGCAAAGAGAACATGAGAGAAGCATTCTGGCCCTGTGCAATAGGTTCATACGCTGTTCAGGTGCCTTTGGCAATCATCCCAAACAGCAAAGTTGCAGGCTTTGCCGAATTGAATAGACACCTATAGTCTTTTTGGTGCAGAGCTGCACGGATTTGTGCCTCGAGCATCACGTTTTGTTTGATCATTGACATGATGTACGTCGTGAGAGTGTTCTCCACTGCAGCTTATGAGTCTATGAGTATGTGTCCCACGCAGGGTGGACCTAAAATGGGTGCCTTTGCTTTTGGGTTTCCCTTGAAACCAAAGCCGCACCCGGGTACCCTGAACAAGAAAATGGCAACGTGGGCAAAAGCCATCACAGGCGGAGCGCTGCAAGATCTTGGTGCCGAGCCGCTTGGTCCAGGTCAGCTAGCGCAAGTTCCAGCCAAAAACCAAGAGAAACAATTAATGAAGCTCTCCACATAACTATGCATATACATATAGCATGTAGCTGCACATGTGCATATACTTTGCAGGGAAGTGTTTGCCCTCAAGACCTCAAGATAACTTTTAGTTAGCTGCTTTCCCTGGAAACCACCTTTTAGAGGGTCGCTTTGAGGATGTCACTTTTGTGAAAGGTTGGAGACTTGTTGAGATGGACATTTTGGTCAGCATTCCTATGTGCACAGTCGATATAGGTGTTGTTTTGGTGCTTGGGACACAGCGATACACCCGTGTCCAAGGAAGAATACGTTCTTTTGGGGCGGCCCATTTCAGCCCCAAATGACTCTGATAGAAGAAATCGTTAGGCCCCCAGAAACTGTTTATTACAAAGGGGGCATTCATTATTTGGAGAAAGGGATTATGCAGCACACCAGTGCACGGTCGTCTAGCATGCAGATAAATGTATGCAATCACGCTTTTAAGATTGACAGTTGCTTTCTGAATGCTAAGCCCACCATTCAGAGGAAGCAGCTTGCGGTAGAATGCGTGCCTACGATGTATAGAAAATGAATCATCTCGGCCGTTTTCACTGAATCATATTGCATTGTCGCCATTTTCCTCACGTCCGCTCGCTCAGACTACCCAATGTGCAAGCAGGCCTTGTCAGGTGTCCTCGCATTTGTATACTCCCAGGGTGTTGGGAATGAACTTAGGGATTTTTTGAAAGGAAACCACAAGGGATGGTTTATGGGGGGTCATTCCCTTATTCCCTGCTCACCACCAAATTGTTTGGTGAATCGGTTACATAAGGGTTGTTCAAGCTCGGGACGCGTTTTTAACTTTTCTAGGGACCCTTTGGTGACCCCTGGAAAGCGAAGAGCATTCGGGTCTGGGCAAATTCTAGCTGGAAAATATCCTCATGTCAAGCACTTGGCCCAGTTTAGGACCCTTCATTCTTGAAGAAACCTCAGTTGCACTTTGCTTGTTCTACATCTTTTTACAGTGCTCTTCGAGGCGTTGGGCCTGAGATATGGGGCGCAAGGCCATCATGGACGTTGCCTTCTGAGCATGGATAGCCATGCAGGATATTCCTATGTAGCGGATGCCCCAAGTTTTCAGCGGCATCGCACAGGTCGCATCCCTTCCACTGGGCAATGGATCAGCCTGGCGTCACTGAGGCGGGGCGCTGCTGGTTTGGGACTCGCGGCTGCCTCACGAGAACTTCCCCAACTGCGGCAGTGGCTGGCGGATGGCGCCTCGATCCGGCGGAATTAGGTCGACGGCTGAGGGAGTCTCTTTATAAACTGAAACAGCAGCTATAATACATATGTAGTAATATATACATATATATATATATGCATCTACAGGTTGTTTTGAGTCTTGAAAAGATGACGGACATTTGTTGTTGGGTCTATGCTGTGTTCCCTCTTATGGCGGATCTTTGGAGCGCCCCTTCAAATGAGAGGTTACTACCCTTTGGTTTCCTTTCAAGTTTGACTGACTGGAAAAAAGGTACCCTCAAGAAAAGACACATTTGCATGGCGTTCCGCGGGCGCATGCCGGAGGATGCAGGCATGACAGTGGCGTCACCTGGCACGGCAGTGGCGTGACTTTGTTGTGTCACCGTATGACTGTGATGTGTGTGTGAGTGTGTGACACCTGCTTGGAATGTGTGGGCTGTGTGTTGGATGATTTGCACCGGCCCCAGTGATTCACGGTCCGGCGTCAGGTGCAGTACGTCACCTGCAAGCGCCTCAGCGCGGAGGACCTGCAGCGCCGGGCGGCGGCCTGGCACAGCGGGCTCCGCACAGGCGGCGCTTCCCCGGGTCCCCGGGCCCTTTGGAGCCCCAGACGTCGGCGGGCGTCCTGTCGCCCTTTTTTTGTTGGAGGGGAGGGTCGGGCCCTGTAAAAAAAATCCTCCCAAGGAGAGTTTTCCCCTTTAAGATCATCAGAAGGAGAGTTTTTGTTCCTTTGAAATCAACTGAGAGAATAAAATTGGAACCACTGGGAGTCGAACCCACCAAAGGCATGGCAAGTCCACCAAGCGGGTGGTCGAAGAGCTCTGAGCTGAGTGGTTCCATTTTGGGGCAAACCGTCGGTCAAACTGGTCGATTGTTTTTTTTCTTTTCAGGAGAAACCAAAGGGTTCAAGCTACGGAATCAGCTGGGGTTTTTGGAATGAAGTGGAAGGTAGGGGGTCATTCCCTCAAGATGACTTGGTGGATCAAGTCTTGCTACGAGTAAAACGAGGACCAAACTGCAATGCATCCATGAACAGACATGTATCATCCCAGGATCATGATCTAAGTTTGGGTAGTAGCACTCCGCAGCCCCATTTTAGTGCAGTTTTCCCTTTTGTTTGAATCACCACCACACATGATCAATCTCTAAAAAAAGTTCCCTTTTTCTGCCACTGGCAGCAGGGTTGATGAACCAAAAGGGAAATTCCAATTTCCTGCAGGAGGAGCCTGTTGAAATTGGAAACATAATTCCACATGTTCCTCAGTTTTGGAATCAAAGGGTAGACCTTCAGACGGTATCCCCGCTTCTTGATGGAATCCAAAAGCGATGGGGCAAGATCCTTCTGGGTCTCTAGGACCTGGCACGAAAGTGTGTGGTGGTTTCAAGCTTAAGGATGCCAGGACATTGGTAACTGTCAGAATAAGACCTCCGCAAGTGTTTGCTTTTAGCTTCTTTTTAATCCCAGGGAAAGAAGGACTGACAAAGCACAACAACGCCCACACCCACATGACTTCTGTAGGACAGGCGAATGTTTGGGTTGTGAGGTGTCTCATTCCCAGGAAAAGGCACGGACCGCTTCATGAGATCCCCACAGGTCTTGTCATGACCACGTTCAGCCGAAGCCGCGCTGCTTGCTTGGGTACATAGAGCTGGGTAAATTATAGCGAGGTCACCCGACCTGACTGTGAGTTCGACCTAGCAATCCTGAAATAAGAGTCTGGGCGCTGGACCCCCTCCCGTGTTTTGGCATGCAAATTGAGCCGTTTCCCGATGCGTCACCCAGAATTCCACTTTGGGGGTCATCCAACCTCTTAAACACGGGGTATTCAAGGAGTTCCCGCCTGGAGCCCTTATTGGGGGTTCAGAAGTTGCAATGTTGAGGCACAGCAGTGTCACGACCTAAGTTATTTCAGATCGACTATTGAAATAACGAATTTGACCGAACGACCTAGGAAAAATGATAATTCATCCAGATAGATCATGGACCCAATTGGGACTTTGGACATCCACCAACATGAAGATTCCTTCCCCTTCATTTGTTTTATTATTTCCTGAGGCAAGAAGCCTTCTGAATCCGAGAGAAAAGAGAGAGCATTCCGCATTGCTCAGACAAAAAAAAACACACAAAAAAAAGAACAAACAGTCCCTGACTCATTGCCCAAAAGGTTGTTGAGAGCTAACGGAGGTTTTGGCATCTTGCCACCGCACTTGGCTCGTACCTTCGGACCTTCGGACCTTCGAACCTTCGGAGAGCCAGGGTTGGTGCCCAGCTCCTTCGCACGGCGCTTCAAAGCAGAGGAGCAGCAAAGGCTCCACGGGCTCGATGGGCTCGTGGGGCTGGGGGGACCTATGGCTGTGTCGCAGAAATGGGGAACACAAGCTCCTTCCCGTCGTTTCGCCCCCCCCCCGCCACCCCCCCATGACCCACCCCCATGACCCACCCCCAAGCCCAAGGCCCTAAGCCCCCCGCGGCTTCCATGGCCTCAGGCTGGGCATGGCCTCCGATGATGGCGCGGCGCTAGAGGCGGCCATCGCAGCGGGGGAGCAGCTCAGCTCGGAGCAGCTGGAGGCGGGAGGACCCGGTGCCGGGTGCCAGGGGCGGGGACTGACGTCCGGAATATTGGGAAGGAACCGGAAGGGGATTCCCGCAAAAATGCGGGAAACCAAATCGGAGGGATGGGTTGTTTCAAGGGGTCAGTCATTCCAATTCTCATTCCCTGCTGAGAACCAGCATGTTTTTTGGTGTAAAACTTCCTTTAAAATCAACTGCTCTCGTGTAAGATGGATCCCACATGATCCCACCAGAGGCTCCCTTTTTGAAGGAAGCGACGGAAGTTCCGAAGTGGGTCTTGGCGGCCATCCCACAATGTGGCCTACATACATGTCCTTGCGCATCACCGGTGTTTTCGGGGCGGGCGAGACTCTTGCTTTGCTCATTGCCGTCTCAACAGCAGGACACCCAACCCAGAAACGCTCAGCAGCGCCGATTTTGCCCCAAATCTGCCCCCCTGCCGTCAAAAAGATCCTCCCAAAAGCCCCTCATGTTTGGAGAAGTATATCTACATGCATATCTTTCTCAATCATGGAAGCCTATTTGATGACTTCTTTGCTTTTGCTTTTCCGGACCCTCTAATACTGACTTGATTCGATTTTCAAGTACCCCACAGCTCTTATCTAGGCCCTTATGGTTGTTACCGGGAGAGGGTTGGCGTGCCCGTGTTGTTGTTGTTGTCATTTGTCCAGATCCCCGAATCCTTTGGGTGTGGCTCCAAATTCAATACGGATACTATCCGGTTTCGGTCTATACCTAGACTCTCCATGACCCTTTAAAGATGGGGTCATTTGACCCCTTTCTTTTGGATGATCCAATTGGGTCCAGTTCCCAGGGCTCCATTTTTGGTGTCATTCCAATTCTCATTCCCTTGAGAACCAGCAAAGTGGTTTGGTGTTTTTTTTTCTTTAAAAATCAGCTACTCTCCTGTTCCCGTGGTATTTCCATGTATTTCCTCCATTTGGTTTGGTGTTCTACACCAGGGTTCCCTAGAATTCTCATGGTATTGCCATTTGGCCCTCCTTTGCCAACCCAAAAAGGGTACCCTCAACAAAAGACAGACCCATTTTTCACCCCCCGCCGAAAAAGGAGGGGGCGGCCACAGTTCCGATTTGGGCTAGGCGGCGCGGCAGCTGCGGCGGGGCTACCGGCTGAAGCAGACGGCGGAGCTGCCAGCGGAGCTGCAGGCTGGCCGAGGAGTAGGTCTGGGGGGTCCCTTTGGCGAGGTTTTTCAGTAGTGCCCTTTCTCACCCGTTTCTTTGTTTTGGGGGGGGGAGGGTTTCCCAAAATAGAGTGCCAACTTTTACCGTCTGTTTTTTAGGGGTTTTGGGTTTCCCTACTAAGATAGACTACAGAAATTGTTTACCAAGTTTCTTCTTTTGGTTGGGAGATTCGGGTTCCCTACTTAAAAAACACTGCAGAAAAAACTCGGGTACCCTTATTCTAAGCTCTCTACTGGAGCACCTAGTTTGGGTTCTCTTGCCGGATCTGGCTGTGGGTCAAACATGAGAACCGAAATGGAGCCCAGGGTCCGGTGGCTTTAGTCTTGACCCACACCCATGTGTTCTTCTAATCCCAGAGTGTCTAAAGGCCCTTCCGGGAAGGGCCAGACAAAGGACCCCGCAGGAAGGGCCGTTCTGTTTTCAATGCTTTTCGGGTCTTGTTGGAGCCCGCTCAGTCCAATCCGGCTTTGTTGAAGTTGTGCTGAAAGCCTATCTCTCACTTAGCCTACCAAAATGCCCTCAACTGCGAAGCTTTCCGCTCCCTGCGACTCAAGCACTCATGCGAAGCTCGAATCACTTTGTACTTGAGAGTGTTGCCGGCTATTTTGTGTGGGCCAGCTAGTGGTGCTCATTGCAGTTGCTTTCGTTCAGGCAAAGCATGGCCGATGCAGTCCAGACAATGAACTTGAAATCTCAGGGGCCGCCATTCACGCTAAATCACGCTAATTTCACGCTCTGGAGGGTCCTTTCACGAGCGCAGAGGTCCTTCTTGCGCTAATTCACGCGGAATTCTTCCTCGCCGATTTCACAACTTTATTTGTCCAAACCACGTCATTGCATTGCAAGATGCAACAGACAGTGCCCTTTCCTTCGCATTTCTGCAACTAGTCCTGTATGCTGGAGTAGTGTCCTAATCAACATTCTCATTTTGCGCCTTGCCAAGTTCCCGGATTTGAGCGCAGGCCTCAAACCTCATTGTCATCTAGCCTTCCTAAAGAGTCAATTGCAAAGTTCATGAAACGCATTATTTAAGGGCTGCCGCCCAGTGCCGCCGACCCCTGGATTTAGTTGTGGTTTTGGAGCCACAAAAAACAGTGCCCTTGGTTTTGGTTTCTTTGGTTTCTTTTGGGTGAAATGTTAGTGGCCCCAAAAGGCTAATCTTGTATTTTAGGGTTTTGTTTGCATTTTTGAAGACACGAACAGGGACTGTGACTTGCTGGGCAACAAATGATCCCTATCATGATCACTATCATCGTAGCATCCTCTGCATTACCAAGGGTGCCTAGCGATGATGATGACTATGCATCACTATCGAAACGGCACCTCGCCTCAGATGCCATTTGTGTCATTGAGATTTGGAGTCCTGCCTTGATGATAATCATCACTACGCATCATTCGCAGCATCTGTGGCAATCATGAAGATAATCATCACTACGCATCCCCAGCATCTCCAGCAGCGATGATCATAATCATGACTACGCATCACTGTCGAAACGGCACCTCGCCTCAGATGCCATTTGGGTCATTGAGATTTGGAGTCCTGCCTTGATGATAATCATCACTACGCATCATTCGCAAGAAAGCTAAGAAACCAAAACCAAGGGCAGTGTTTTTGGTTGCTCGAAAACCACAACTAAATCCAGGGGTCGGCGGCACTGGGCGGCAGCCCTTGAACAAGAATGAGATGATGATGAGCATCATGATGATGATGATGAGAAGAGCGATGACATCATTATAAGGATGATCATGATGATGATTATGATGATAACTATCATCGTAACGCCCTTTGCATCACCAGTGCTGCCTAATAAGAGATGATAATGATGACAAGGATGAGGACTGTGATGATAACTATCATCGTAGCATCCTCGGCATCACCAGTGCCGGCTACTAAGAGACGATGATGACCATGATGATTACGATGACAAAGATGAGGGCTGTGTGCCAACTAACAAGAGATGATGATGACCGGATGAGGACTGTGATGATAACTATCATCGTAGCATCCTCTGCATTGCCAATGGGGTCTAACGTTACTTTTGAAATGCATATAAGAATAAGAATAAGAACAAGAACAAGAATGAGATGATGATGATCATCATGATGATGATGAGAAGAGCGATGACATCATAATAAGGATGATCATGATGATGATTATGATGATAACTATCATCGTAACACCCTTTGCATCACCAGTGCTGCCTAATAAGAGATGATGATGACATCCTCGGCATCACCAGTGCCGGCTAATAAGAGATGATAATAACCATGATGATAGTGATGATAAGGATGAGGACTGTGATGATAAGTATCGTCGTAGCATCCTCTGCATTGCCAATGGGGTCTAACGTTACTTTTGAAATGCATATAAGAATAAGAACAAGAATGAGATGATGATGATCATCATGATGATGATGAGAAGAGCGATGACATCATAATAAGGATGATCATGATGATGATTATGATGATAACTATCATCGTAACACCCTTTGCATCACCAGTGCTGCCTAATAAGAGATGATGATGACATCCTCGGCATCACCAGTGCCGGCTAGTACGAGATGATAATAACCATGATGATAGTGATGATAAGGATGAGGACTGTGATGATAATATCGTCGTAGCATCCTCTGCATTGCCAATGGGGTCTAACGTTACTGTTGAAATGCCACGATGTTGATCTTATGATGAATGCTTTGATGATGATCATCATGATGATGATGAGAAGAGCGATGACATCATAATAAGGATGATCATGATGATGATTATGATGATAACTATCATCGTAACACCCTTTGCATCACCAGTGCTGCCTATGATGATGATCATCATGATGATGATGAGAAGAGCGATGACATCATAATAAGGATGATCATGATGATGATTATGATGATAACTATCATCGTAACACCCTTTGCATCACCAGTGCTGCCTAATAAGAGATGATGATGACATCCTCGGCATCACCAGTGCCGGCTAATAAGAGATGATAATAACCATGATGATAGTGATGATAAGGATGAGGACTGTGATGATAAGTATCGTCGTAGCATCCTCTGCATTGCCAATGGGGTCTAACGTTGCTTTTGAAATGCATATAAGAATAAGAACAAGAATGAGACGATGATGATCATCATGATGATGATGAGAAGAGCGATGACATCATCATGGTAGCATCCTCGGCATCACCAGTGCCGGCTACTAAGAGACGATGATCCTCGGCATCACCAGTGCCAGCTAATAAGAGATGATGATGACCATGATGATAATGATGACAAGGATGAGGACTGTGATGATAGCTATCATCGTAGCATCCTCGGCATCACCAGCGCCGGCTAAAAAGAGATGATGATGACCTGATGATAAGGATGAGGACTGTGATCATAGCTATCGTTGTAGCATCCTTTGCATTGCCAATGGTGTCTAACGTAGCATCCTCGGCATCACCAGGGCCAGGGCGGCCCGAGACTTACCCCACGGGCCCAGTATCCCTAGCACTCCTTGTGCCGAAAAGTAAGGGGCTCATTTTTTGAGATAGCGCCCCCTGCGCCCAAGCCTAAATGAGTCCCCTGTGTGGCAGCTACAATGGGCCAGAGCGGGGCGTTAAGCCCCAATCTTCAGGGGCCGGGGGGGGCAGTCATCATGATCATCATGTCCACGCAGCTTTTGCATGTCAAACCCTCTCTAACGCCACAATTGAAACGTATATCAAAAAATATGGATGATGACGAGGATGATGATGTTGAAGGATATAGAAATGAGGATGATGATGATGTTGACGATAAACATGATGAAGGATCATATCGATGATGATGATGATGATGATGATGATGATGGGCATCCATATGATGCCAGTAGTCATATGCTTGCCTCAAAGATTAATCCATGCGCTTGTACTGCAACCACCCTTCCCGTGCGCCTCCCCCTTTGAGGAGAAGGGGTCGGCGGATTTCCCCCGGCTTGGTAAACCTGCCTGGCATGGCCAGCAAAGCATGCGGGCACATACCTCCAGGGAGGTCCTTTGTAAAGGACCCTCCTAAGAGGGCCGTTGACAGACTGGGTGTTGGCTTCATTTTGGCGCGTTTTCCCTTATTGTGTCAGCTACCAACAGAATTAGGCTGAAAGTGAACATGTTGAGGGGGTCATTTCGATAAACGACTTCAGGTACCACCATGGGTCCTTTTGAGGTGATTTTAATGAGCCCGGCCACATTCAGCTGCACCTGTTTCTCCACATGAGGGGAACCCAACGCAGGCGATATTCGCCCTTTAACACAAAACCTTTCGGTTAATGGGCAAAGGGTTCGAACAATAGGATAACAAGATATGATCTGGGCACACATCTGCCATGGTCAAAAGATCCGTTGACTTTGGCTTGGTAGGCATGGTCATCATCCGCTAGATAGGGGTTTGCAAACCTCGCCTGCAACATCATGACGCATCGACGGCTGGAGGAAAATCGGCAAGCCCGCTGCTCTATTGGTGTTCCACACCTGCCCCCACCGAGGAAATGCCGCCATGTTTGGGGTCAAAGTTCCTATTTTGACACAAAGCATCGAGCCCAGAAGAATCAACCTGGTGCATTGTTAGGCCCCAAGAGTGAAGCGTTGTGTTTGAAATGGGATACGCCCCAAATCAAACTAGCCAGGGGCTGATTAATCCCTGGTCCTAGATGGGTTTGCCTTCTGGGTTTGCCTTCTTTTGAAGGAACCCTGTTTTGGCGTGGTTGGTGCCCCTTTTTGTTCTGGTGTACAGGCGAACTAACCGAACACCCGAAAAAAACAACCATGTTGGGGCTCCCCGATTTTCAGAAACCCGCCAGATGCGCGTTCCCCGCTTCGGCTCCCCGATTTTCAGACTCCCGCCCGGACCGCTTCGCACGTTCCCGGCTTCGCGATGGGAATGATTTGCAGGAGGCCGCGGCGCTCTTTCGCGGGGCCTTCGCGAGCAACGGCGCGCTGCGGGAGGTGCTGGGCTGTGTCGCGCGAGCGGAGAGCCGCGTGGCTGCTGGGGCTGGGAGTGCTTTGGTTGCTGGTTGCTTTCACCGGTGTCATCATTTTGGCGGTTTCTGGGGGGTGTTCAAAGTCAGAACATGGGGTTGTTTCCCTGTAACCCACCACTTAGGGGGTGACTTTGATCATGGTAAAATAATGAGGCCAGTTTCATTTGCTCAAGAGTGGGGTCAAGTTTCCCCGGTTTGGTTTTACAGGGACTCTATCGATATATTTTAGTTCTTGCCAGGGGACTTGAGAAGCAAATGGAGGCTTGTCCACGGAACTTGAATGTGTGGCTATGAGTTTTTCAAGAGGGAGCCGCCTGGGTAGTTTGTGGAATTGAATCCCCACCAAACGGCTTCTTCAATGATGCAGGTTCTGGGCGTGGATGGTTTTTCTCGGGGCCAAGGCGACTGGCTTGGTAATGTCAACCTTGGGCTAAGCCCCGCCCACCTAGAAGGACTGGGTAAGGCCTGCAAGCTCTAAAACAGCTCCAAAAACAGCTCCAAGACCAGCTCCAAAAACAGCTCCAAGAACAGCTCCAAAACAGCTCCAAACTTGAGATTTGGGCAACGCGATTTTTCGAATTGGGGATGAGAACCCAAAAAAGCTGGATGAGATTTGGTCCATTGCCTCGAAGAGGATCGGATTCCAAGAAGTTAGGCAGTGCTACTAAAAAAATGAAAAAACAGACGGAACAAAAACGATTCTGAATTCGTCTAGTACTAGGATCACGTTTCTGGATGCTAGCAGAACAGGGCAACACATGTCTTCAGCTGCAGGATCGGTCCTTTGGTAAGTGTTAGGATCAGTTTCATGGAAGTTGGGCCGTGGTGTGGGGTTCACACAGCTTTGCGTGCTGGGCGCTCGCGTGGGACACCCCCGTTGTGAGTTTACACGGATCTACATAAAGAGGTGGATGTGTGCAGTGTGCAGCTTGGGGGGCGGAGAACTAGCTGCTGGTGAATCATTGAGGCATCTATTTGGGTCTGGCAGCAGGGAGGGGCTTTCCTTTTCTTCGGGGTAAAATTGAGCTTCGGATTGAGCATCGAGTTTGCGCTTGGCTTTTCTCCGGCTTGCCAGCACGCTTGCCCGAGGCAACTACCTTCCCTTCTGGCTGCTTTGAAGCGTGCGGCGTCAATGAAAGTGTGCGATGCTGCCTTTGCAAGTCAGCCCGGCTCGGTTGTGGATTCAATTGTTGTTGTAAGCAAAACCTGGGCTTACATGTCGGTTTGACTCCGGACGCCCACAAATTCCATGAGCGTTGCAACAAGGAACTCAAGGGCTACGCCCCGCACCAGCTGCGCTGGCTGTCCGACAAGGAACATGTTTGATCCTGTTCTCAGGATTACTCGCAGAGATTGATGTCCGCCGGCAATGTTTGAGGTGTGCCCCCTTTTCGTAGCCTGTAAATGCAAGCAGCTTCCAGGAACGGGGCATGCTGGGTTGGGAGGTTGGGGTAGGGATTTGAGCAAGATTGTGGGTGGTGAGGGGGGAGTTGGGGTGGAGTTGCGGAGTTGAGGTGGTGAGGGGGGGGGGGATAGAGTGGGGGTGGGGGTGGGTTGGTGAGTGTTGTGGCGGGGTTTGTCGGGTTGGGGGCAAAGCTTGTGTGGGTTGTTTGTTTCGCGTTGTTTGGCAACAACAAAACCATACCTGTCACTTGGATCACGCAGATCACTTGAGTTTTGTCTTATGGCTTGGGTTGGTTGGAAGTTGACAGGGCAGGTTTAGGTTTTATTTGGGCGGGGGAGACCGCCGCAAAGACAAAGCGCCCTCAGCCGCCCCTAAGCCAAATTCAACACCGACCCAACACCACACCCCGCCTAAACCATCCCAAGCCAACCCCAACTATCCCTTCCTTGAACCCAGCCCGAAACAAGCGCAAAACACGACCATCCTTGCCCCAACCCCCAAACTTACAGCTGTAAACCCGCTCTTAGGCGACCCCAATATGGTGAAACGCTTTTGCTACGCAAGACGAACTGCAGTGAACTGCAAACCCACCCTGCGCAAACATAAGCCAAACCAACCCCAGACCGACCCTGAACCAACCCTACGACCACCCTTACTAACCCCGCCATACACCAAAATCCTAAGAACTCACCCTTCACCAAACCCAAGTCAACCCTAAGCCCAGCCTGAACAAAACCCGAACCAAACCCCAGACCAACCACAAACCCACCCTTCCAATCCTTAACCAACCCGCAACCCACCGTAAACAATCCTTAAACCACCCTAAGTCAATTTTTCCTGCGTTGTGCAGATTTGCTAGGAAGCCAGCTAAGCAGAGAAGGAACGGGGTGTGCTCTGGAACTCGTCTTCGCCGAAAGATCTAGTCGAGTTGGGATTTTGTCACTACGCCCGCTCATGTTTTGGAAGCCGGGACCAGCGAACGCCAGTTTAGAAACTTGTTGTTGTTCTGTTTGCTGGTTGTTTATCGTTTCTGAAAGGCCCCCGCACGGCACGAGTAGGACCTTTCCTTTCACCATGTCCCGTGTGTGTTTTAACCGGCGCGGGTGGCCAGCTGGGTGCTAACAAAGACTTGCCGCCAGCTCGATGCGCAGCGGATACTGGCAATGCTGGCGATGTGTCTCTGGCAATGGTGAAGACTGGAAACGGTAAACAAGGTTTGAAAGGGTTTAATCGACGGCAGGGACCGCCTGGGAATTATCCAATGTTATAATTACCTCCCACTTTGCACAGTCCAGATTCGAGCCCTGCGGGAGGGGGGACCAGGTCTTGTGTCCAACACGCGGTCTTTGTTCTTGTGAGAGTGTGCCGGGGTTTTGCTACAAAGAAGGGCTGCGACTATCGGTTGGCCACTGTGTCATTGAGAGGTTTTTTGTTCAACCGTTTCATCAATCTAGGCTGCACCAAAGACAGTCTTGCATGGCTGCCAACGACGTTGTCGCATTGTTTTTGTTTTTTTACATCAACTACAACCATCACACCACTACGTTGATATATGATATGTGGCTCAGGAAAATCCATCTTTGTCATTAGTGCTTGCCCAGTTAGCCTTTTTAGACTTAGCAATTCAGCATGGCCAAGAAGACCGCCATTGGAATTGACCTCGGCACGACCTATTCTTGCGTGGGTGTTTGGAAGAACGACGGAGTGGAGATCATTGCCAACGACCAGGGCAACCGAACCACTCCTTCCTACGTTGCCTTCACCGATACTGAGCGATTGATCGGGGACGCAGCGAAGAATCAGGTGGCCCGAAATCCTGAGAACACGGTCTTTGATGCCAAAAGATTGATTGGCCGCAAGTTTGCCGACCCCATTGTGCAGGCAGACATCAAGTTGTGGCCATTCAAGTGCGTTGCAGGTCAGGGCGACAAGCCAATCATTGTGGTGAAGGTGGAAGGCGAGGAGAAGAAGTCCCCTGACATCAGCAATAATATATATGTTGTCGTTTTTGGACCTTAGGAACTTGCATTTTCGGGGTTTGCTTATTTTTGCTTTGGTTTAAGCCCGGACTGAAGTCGACTCAGGTATCATCCAGAGGAAATCTCCTCCATGATTCTGTTGAAGATGAAGGAGACCGCCGAGGCCTACTTGGGCACCAAGGTGAATGATGCAGTCGTCACGGTGCCGGCCTACTTCAACGATTCTCAGCGCCAAGCCACCAAGGATGCTGGAACAATTTCCGGCATGAACGTGCTGCGCATCATCAACGAGCCAACTGCCGCGGCCATTGCATATGGCCTGGACAAGAAGGGCAGCGGTGAGAGGAACGTGCTCATCTACGACATGGGTGGCGGCACCTTCGATGTGTCGCTGCTGACCATTGAGGATGGCATCTTTGAGGTCAAGGCCACTGCAGGAGACACTCACTTGGGAGGTGAGGATTTTGACAATCGAGTGGTGGACTTCTGCATGCAGGACTTCAAGCGCAAGAACCGTGGAAAGGACTTGGCGGGCAACCAGCGAGCCATCCGCCGACTGCGCACGCAGTGCGAGCGTGCCAAGAGGACCCTGTCCTCATCCACGCAGGCCACCATTGAGATTGACTCCCTCTTTGAGGGCATTGACTACAGCTGCTCCTTGTCTCGTGCACGCTTTGAGGAGCTGTGCATGGACTACTTCCGCAACTCCATGGGCCCTGTGGAGAAGTGCCTCAAGGACTCGGGCATCGACAAGAAGAGCGTGCACGACGTGGTGCTGGTGGGTGGCTCCACGCGCATCCCCAAGGTGCAGTCCATGATCCAGGAGTTCTTCAACGGCAAGGAGCCGAACAGGTCCATCAACCCAGATGAGGCTGTGGCATATGGCGCGGCGGTGCAGGCTGCTATCCTGACTGGCGAGGGCTCATCCCAAGTGCAGGATCTCCTGCTTTTGGATGTGACGCCGCTCTCCATGGGCTTGGAGACCGCAGGTGGTGTGATGACCAAGTTGATTGAGCGCAACACAACCATCCCGACCAAGAAAGCGCAGACCTTCACGACCTACGCAGACAACCAGCCGGGTGTGTTGATCCAAGTGTTCGAGGGTGAGCGCGCCATGACCAAGGACAACAATTTGCTAGGCAAGTTCCACCTGGATGGCATTCCTCCGGCTCCCCGGGGTGTGCCGCAGATTGAGGTGACCTATGACATCGATGCCAACGGAATCTTGAACGTGAGCGCCTCCGACAAGTCTACTGGAAAGTCCAACCAGATCACCATCACCAATGAGAAGGGCCGGCTGTCGCAGTCGGAGATCGATCGCATGGTGCAAGAGGCAGAGAAGTTCCGTGCCGAGGATGAGGCCATGTGTGGGCTGCAGACAAAGTGTTTTTTTTCTTAAAGATACTTGACAGTCTTGATGAATTGACTTCTCGGTGTTAACGCGGTGTGCACTGGATTGCCTGCAGGCCAACAAGCAGAAGATCGAGGCCAAGAACGGCTTGGAGAATTACTGCTTCACCATGCGCAACACCTTGAACGAGGAGAAGCTGAAGGACAAGTTCGAGGGCGGTGATAAGGAGAAGATCGAGTCTGCAGTGCAAGAGACCCTGGACTGGCTGGACAAGAACCAGTTGGCTGAGAAGGACGAGTTTGAGGCCAAGCAGAAGGAGCTGGAGGGCGTTGTGAACCCCATCATGATGAAGGTGTACCAGGCTGCCGGCGGCGGTGGCATGCCAGAAGGTGGCATGCCAGGTGGTGGCATGGGTGGCGCTCCTGGCGGCAACAGCGGCCCCACCGTCGAGGAGGTGGACTAATTCGACCTAGGCATCAAGCACAAAGTGCTCGAGTAGGTGTGGGACCTAAGCTCACAACCACGAATTTTCCTTGGGCAATTGGCAATTGTGCCAACGCCCAGCAAAAACCTGTGCATGGAACAGAATGATCGGAAACTGCATGAAAGCAATTGCCTGATGAAGCACTGGCATAGCATTGGCATGGCGTGCTTTTTGAAGTTGGTTCTTGGCCGGTTCTGTGAGCAGACATGGCATTGAGGTGCTTTGTTCAGCGGTTTCACGGTTTTGACAATCTAGGGCGCTCCAATGTCATTGGTCATACTTCCAGCGGCCCTGCATGTCTGTCAGCACAACGTTGTTTGATTGGATTCTTCGTATCAACCACTAGATTGATATGTGATATGTGGCTCAGGAAAATCCATCGTTGTCATTGGTGCTTGCCTTTTTAGACTTAGCAATTCAGCATGGCCAAGAAGACCGCCATTGGGATTGACCTCGGCACGACCTATTCTTGCGTGGGTGTTTGGAAGAACGACGGAGTGGAGATCATTGCCAACGACCAGGGCAACCGAACCACTCCTTCCTACGTTGCCTTCACCGATACTGAGCGATTGATCGGGGACGCAGCGAAGAATCAGGTGGCCCGAAATCCTGAGAACACGGTCTTTGATGCCAAAAGATTGATTGGCCGCAAGTTTGCCGACCCCATTGTGCAGGCAGACATCAAGTTGTGGCCATTCAAGTGCATTGCAGGTCAGGGCGACAAGCCAATCATTGTGGTGAAGGTGGAAGGCGAGGAGAAGAAGTTCCCTGACATGAGCAAGAACAGATATGTTGTCGTTTAGGACCTTAGGAACTTGCATGATCGAGGGTTGTTCATTGATGGCTGGCACGCATATATTGTTTTGGTTGAAGCCCAGGCTGTGGATTGAAGTCGACTCAGGTATCATCCGGAGGAAATCTCTTCCATGATTCTGCTCAAAAAAAAGGAGACAGCCGAGGCCTACTTGGGCACCAAGGTGAATGATGCAGTCGTCACGGTGCCGGCCTACTTCAACGATTCTCAGCGCCAAGCCACCAAGGATGCTGGAACAATTTCCGGCATGAACGTGCTGCGCATCATCAACGAGCCAACTGCCGCGGCCATTGCATATGGCCTGGACAAGAAGGGCAGCGGTGAGAGGAACGTGCTCATCTACGACATGGGTGGCGGCACCTTCGATGTGTCGCTGCTGACCATTGAGGATGGCATCTTTGAGGTCAAGGCCACTGCAGGAGACACTCACTTGGGAGGTGAGGATTTTGACAATCGAGTGGTGGACTTCTGCATGCAGGACTTCAAGCGCAAGAACCGTGGAAAGGACTTGGCGGGCAACCAGCGAGCCATCCGCCGACTGCGCACGCAGTGTGAGCGTGCCAAGAGGACCCTGTCCTCATCCACGCAGGCCACCATTGAGATTGACTCCCTCTTTGAGGGCATTGACTACAGCTGCTCCTTGTCTCGGGCACGCTTTGAGGAGCTGTGCATGGACTACTTCCGCAACTCCATGGGCCCTGTGGAGAAGTGCCTCAAGGACTCAGGCATCGACAAGAAGAGCGTGCACGACGTGGTGCTGGTGGGTGGCTCCACGCGCATCCCCAAGGTGCAGTCCATGATCCAGGAGTTCTTCAACGGCAAGGAGCCGAACAGGTCCATCAACCCAGATGAGGCTGTGGCATATGGCGCGGCGGTGCAGGCTGCTATCCTGACTGGCGAGGGCTCATCCCAAGTGCAGGATCTCCTGCTTTTGGATGTGACGCCGCTCTCCATGGGCTTGGAGACCGCAGGTGGTGTGATGACCAAGTTGATTGAGCGCAACACAACCATCCCGACCAAGAAAGCGCAGACCTTCACGACCTACGCGGACAACCAGCCGGGTGTGTTGATCCAAGTGTTCGAGGGTGAGCGCGCCATGACCAAGGACAACAATTTGCTAGGCAAGTTCCACCTGGATGGCATTCCTCCGGCTCCCCGGGGTGTGCCGCAGATTGAGGTGACCTATGACATCGATGCCAACGGAATCTTGAACGTGAGCGCCTCCGACAAGTCCACTGGAAAGTCCAACCAGATCACCATCACCAATGAGAAGGGCCGGCTGTCGCAGTCGGAGATCGATCGTATGGTGCAAGAGGCAGAGAAGTTCCGTGCCGAGGATGAGGCCATGTTTGGGCTACAGACAAAGCCAAAGCTATTTTGGCTTGTGCTGCCAGCAAGCTTACCCATGTTTGTCATTTGTGTGTGTGTGGGCGCGGAACCCATCATGCTGTGCAATTCGTATCACGCGTACTTATCTTGTTTGCATGTTCAAACCTTGATGCATCAGACAAGCAGGTTGCCGAATGACTATGTGTTTCTTACTTAAATACTTAAAGATACTTAAAGCGTTTTGATGAATTCTCTTGTCAGTGTTAATGTGGTGTGCACTGGATTGCCTGCAGGCCAACAAGCAGAAGATCGAGGCCAAGAACGGCTTGGAGAATTACTGCTTCACCATGCGCAACACCTTGAACGAGGAGAAGCTGAAGGACAAGTTCGAGGGCGGTGATAAGGAGAAGATCGAGTCTGCAGTGCAAGAGACCCTGGACTGGCTGGACAAGAACCAGTTGGCTGAGAAGGACGAGTTTGAGGCCAAGCAGAAGGAGCTGGAGGGCGTTGTGAACCCCATCATGATGAAGGTGTACCAGGCTGCCGGCGGCGGTGGCATGCCAGAAGGTGGCATGCCAGGTGGTGGCATGGGTGGCGCTCCTGGCGGCAACAGCGGCCCCACCGTCGAGGAGGTGGACTAATTCGACCTAGGCGTCAAGCACAAAGTGCTCGAGTAGGTGTGGAACCTAAGCTCACAACCACGAATTTTCTTTGGGCAATTGGCAATTGTGCCAACGCCCAGCAAAAACCTGTGCATGGAGCAGAATGATCGGAAACTGCATGAAAGCAATTGCCTGATGAAGCACTGGCATAGCATTGGCATGGCGTGCTTTGTTGAAGTTGGTTCTTGGCCGGTTCTGTGAGCAGACATGGCATTGAGGTGCTTTGTTCAGCGGTTTCACGGTTTTGACAATCTAGGGCGCTCCAATGTCGTGGTCATACTTCCAGCGGCCCTTCATGTTTGCCAGCACGACGTTGTTTGATTGGATTCTTCGTATCAACCACTAGATTGATATATGATATGTGGCTCAGGAAAATCCATCGTTGTCATTGGTGCTTGCCCAGTTAGCCTCTTGAGATTTAGCAATTCATCATGGCCAAGAAGACCGCCATTGGGATCGACCTCGGCACAACCTATTCTTGCGTGGGTGTTTGGAAGAACGACGGAGTGGAGATCATTGCCAACGACCAGGGCAACCGAACCACTCCTTCCTACGTTGCCTTCACCGATACTGAGCGATTGATCGGGGACGCAGCGAAGAATCAGGTGGCCCGAAATCCTGAGAACACGGTCTTTGATGCCAAAAGATTGATTGGCCGCAAGTTTGCCGACCCCATTGTGCAGGCAGACATCAAGTTGTGGCCATTCAAGTGCATTGCAGGTCAGGGCGACAAGCCAATCATTGTGGTGAAGGTGGAAGGCGAGGAGAAGAAGTTCCCTGACATGAACAAGAACAGATATGTTGTCGTTTAGGACCTTAGGAACTTGCATGATCGGGGTTTGTTCATTGATGGCTGGCACGCATATATTGTTTTGGTTGAAGCCCAGGCTGTGGATTGAAGTCGACTCAGGTATCATCCGGAGGAAATCTCCTCCATGATTCTGCTGAAGATGAAGGAGACAGCCGAGGCCTACTTGGGCACCAAGGTGAATGATGCAGTCGTCACGGTGCCGGCCTACTTCAACGATTCTCAGCGCCAAGCCACCAAGGATGCTGGAACAATTTCCGGCATGAACGTGCTGCGCATCATCAACGAGCCAACTGCCGCGGCCATTGCATATGGCCTGGACAAGAAGGGCAGCGGTGAGAGGAACGTGCTCATCTACGACATGGGTGGCGGCACCTTCGATGTGTCGCTGCTGACCATTGAGGATGGCATCTTTGAGGTCAAGGCCACTGCAGGAGACACTCACTTGGGAGGTGAGGATTTTGACAATCGAGTGGTGGACTTCTGCATGCAGGACTTCAAGCGCAAGAACCGTGGAAAGGACTTGGCGGGCAACCAGCGAGCCATCCGCCGACTGCGCACGCAGTGTGAGCGTGCCAAGAGGACCCTGTCCTCATCCACGCAGGCCACCATTGAGATTGACTCCCTCTTTGAGGGCATTGACTACAGCTGCTCCTTGTCTCGGGCACGCTTTGAGGAGCTGTGCATGGACTACTTCCGCAACTCCATGGGCCCTGTGGAGAAGTGCCTCAAGGACTCGGGCATCGACAAGAAGAGCGTGCACGACGTGGTGCTGGTGGGTGGCTCCACGCGCATCCCCAAGGTGCAGTCCATGATCCAGGAGTTCTTCAACGGCAAGGAGCCGAACAGGTCCATCAACCCAGATGAGGCTGTGGCATATGGTGCGGCGGTGCAGGCTGCTATCCTGACTGGCGAGGGCTCATCCCAAGTGCAGGATCTCCTGCTTTTGGATGTGACGCCGCTCTCCATGGGCTTGGAGACCGCAGGTGGTGTGATGACCAAGTTGATTGAGCGCAACACAACCATCCCGACCAAGAAAGCGCAGACCTTCACGACCTACGCGGACAACCAGCCGGGTGTGTTGATCCAAGTTTCGAGGGTGAGCGCGCCATGACCAAGGACAACAATTTGCTGGGCAAGTTCCACCTGGATGGCATTCCTCCGGCTCCCCGGGGTGTGCCGCAGATTGAGGTGACCTATGACATCGATGCCAACGGAATCTTGAACGTGAGCGCCTCCGACAAGTCCACTGGAAAGTCCAACCAGATCACCATCACCAATGAGAAGGGCCGGCTGTCGCAGTCGGAGATCGATCGTATGGTGCAAGAGGCAGAGAAGTTCCGTGCCGAGGATGAGGCCATGTTTGGGCTACAGACAAAGCCAAAGCTATTTTGGCTTGTGCTGCCAGCAAGCTTACCCATGTTTGTCATTTGTGTGTGTGTGGGCGCGGAACCCATCATGCTGTGCAATTCGTATCACGCGTACTTATCTTGTTTGCATGTTCAAACCTTGATGCATCAGACAAGCAGGTTGCCGAATGACTATGTGTTTCTTACTTAAATACTTAAAGATACTTAAAGCGTTTTGATGAATTCTCTTGTCAGTGTTAATGTGTGTGTGTGCACTGGATTGCCTGCAGGCCAACAAGCAGAAGATCGAGGCCAAGAACGGCTTGGAGAATTACTGCTTCACCATGCGCAACACCTTGAACGAGGAGAAGCTGAAGGACAAGTTCGAGGGCGGTGATAAGGAGAAGATCGAGTCTGCAGTGCAAGAGACCCTGGACTGGCTGGACAAGAACCAGTTGGCTGAGAAGGACGAGTTTGAGGCCAAGCAGAAGGAGCTGGAGGGCGTTGTGAACCCCATCATGATGAAGGTGTACCAGGCTGCCGGCGGCGGTGGCATGCCAGAAGGTGGCATGCCAGGTGGTGGCATGGGTGGCGCTCCTGGCGGCAACAGCGGCCCCACCGTCGAGGAGGTGGACTAATTCGACCTAGGCATCAAGCACAAAGTGCTCGAGTAGGTGTGGGACCTAAGCTCACAACCACGAATTTTCTTTGGGCAATTGGCAATTGTGCCAATGCCCAGCAAAAACCTGTGCATGGAACAGAATGATCGGAAACTGCATGAAAGCAATTGCCTGATGAAGCACTGGCATAGCATTGGCATGGCGTGCTTTGTTGAAGTTGGTTCTTGCCCGGTTCTGTGAGCAGACATGGCATTGAGGTGCTTTGTTCAGCGGTTTCACGGTTTTGACAATCTAGGGCGCTCCAATGTCGTGGTCATACTTCCAGCGGCCCTGCATGTTTGCCAGCACGACGTTGTTTGATTGGGCTCTTTGTATCAACCACTAGATTGATATATGATATGTGGCTCAGGAAAATCCATCGTTGTCATTGGTGCTTGCCCAGTTAGCCTCTCGAGATTTAGCAATTCATCATGGCCAAGAAGACCGCCATTGGGATTGACCTCGGCACGACCTATTCTTGCGTGGGTGTTTGGAAGAACGACGGAGTGGAGATCATTGCCAACGACCAGGGCAACCGAACCACTCCTTCCTACGTTGCCTTCACCGATACTGAGCGATTGATCGGGGACGCAGCGAAGAATCAGGTGGCCCGAAATCCTGAGAACACGGTCTTTGATGCCAAAAGATTGATTGGCCGCAAGTTTGCCGACCCCATTGTGCAGGCAGACATCAAGTTGTGGCCATTCAAGTGCATTGCAGGTCAGGGCGACAAGCCAATCATTGTGGTGAAGGTGGAAGGCGAGGAGAAGAAGTTCCCTGACATGAGCAAGAACAGATATGTTGTCGTTTAGGACCTTAGGAACTTGCATGATCGGGGTTTGTTCATTGATGGCTGGCACGCATATATTGTTTTGGTTGAAGCCCAGGCTGTGGATTGAAGTCGACTCAGGTATCATCCGGAGGAAATCTCCTCCATGATTCTGCTGAAGATGAAGGAGACAGCCGAGGCCTACTTGGGCACCAAGGTGAATGATGCAGTCGTCACGGTGCCGGCCTACTTCAACGATTCTCAGCGCCAAGCCACCAAGGATGCTGGAACGATTTCCGGCATGATGTGCTTGCGCATCATCAGCGAGCCAACTTGCCGCGGCCATTGCGGTATGGCCTGGACAAGAAGGGCAGCGGTGAGAGGAACGTGCTCATCTACGACATGGGTGGCGGCACCTTCGATGTGTCGCTGCTGACCATTGAGGATGGCATCTTTGAGGTCAAGGCCACTGCAGGAGACACTCACTTGGGAGGTGAGGATTTTGACAATCGAGTAGTGGACTTTTGCATGCAGGACTTCAAGCGCAAGAACCGTGGAAAGGACTTGGCGGGCAACCAGCGAGCCATCCGCCGACTGCGCACGCAGTGCGAGCGTGCCAAGAGGACCCTGTCCTCATCCACGCAGGCCACCATTGAGATTGACTCCCTCTTTGAGGGCATTGACTACAGCTGCTCCTTGTCTCGTGCACGCTTTGAGGAGCTGTGCATGGACTACTTCCGCAACTCCATGGGCCCTGTGGGAGAAGTGCCTCAAGGACTTGACATCGACGAAGGCGTGCTGACGTGGTGCTGGTGGGTCGGCTCCACGCGCATCCCCAAGGTGCAGTCCATGATCCAGTTCTTCAACGGCAAGGAGCCAAACAGGTCCATCAAACCCAGATGAGGCTGTGGCAGCTCGCGCTGGCGGTGCAGGCTGCCTCCCTGACTGGCGAGGAGGGCTCATCCCAAGTGCGGATCTCCTGCTTTTGGATGTGACGCCGCTCTCCATGGGCTTGGAGACCGCAGGTGGTGTGATGACCAAGTTGATTGAGCGCAACACAACCATCCCGACCAAGAAAGCGCAGACCTTCACGACCTACGCGGACAACCAGCCGGGTGTGTTGATCCAAGTGTTCGAGGGTGAGCGCGCCATGACCAAGGACAACAATTTGCTAGGCAAGTTCCACCTGGATGGCATTCCTCCGGCTCCCCGGGGTGTGCCGCAGATTGAGGTGACCTATGACATCGATGCCAACGGAATCTTGAACGTGAGCGCCTCCGACAAGTCCACTGGAAAGTCCAACCAGATCACCATCACCAATGAGAAGGGCCGGCTGTCGCAGTCGGAGATCGATCGTATGGTGCAAGAGGCAGAGAAGTTCCGTGCCGAGGATGAGGCCATGTTTGGGCTACAGACAAAGCTATTTACTTAAAGATACTTGAAAGTCTTGATGAATTGACTTCTCAGTGTTAATGCGGTGTGCACTGGATTGTTTGCAGGCCAACAAGCAGAAGATCGAGGCCAAGAACGGCTTGGAGAATTACTGCTTCACCATGCGCAACACCTTGAACGAGGAGAAGCTGAAGGACAAGTTCGAGGGCGGTGATAAGGAGAAGATCGAGTCTGCAGTGCAAGAGACCCTGGACTGGCTGGACAAGAACCAGTTGGCTGAGAAAGACGAGTTTGAGGCCAAGCAGAAGGAGCTGGAGGGCGTTGTGAACCCCATCATGATGAAGGTGTACCAGGCTGCCGGCGGCGGTGACATGCCAGAAGGTGGCATGCCAGGTGGTGGCATGGGTGGCGCTCCTGGCGGCAACAGCGGCCCCACCGTCGAGGAGGTGGACTAATTCGACCTAGGCGTCAAGCACAAAGTGCTCGAGTAGGTGTGGGACCCAAGCTCACGGCCAACAATCTTCTTTGGGCAATTGGCAATTGTGCCAATGCCCAGCAAAAACCAGTGCATGGAACAGAATGATCGGAAACTGCATGAAAGCAATTGCCTGATGAAGCACTGGCATAGCATTGGCATAGCGTGCTTTTTGAAGTTGTTTCTTGCCCGGTTCTGTGAGCAGACATGGCATTGAGGTGCTTTGTTCAGCGGTTTCACGGTTTTGACAATCTAGGGCGCTCCAATGTCATTGGTCATACTTCCAGCGGCCCTGCATGTCTGTCAGCACGACGTTGTTTGATTGGGCTCTTTGTATCAACCACTAGATTGATATATGATATGTGGCTCAGGAAAATCCGTCGTTGTCATTGGTGCTTGCCCAGTTAGCCTCTTGAGATTTAGTAATTCATCATGGCCAAGAAGACTGCCATTGGGATTGACCTCGGCACGACCTATTCTTGCTTGGGTGTTTGGAAGAACGACGGAGTGGAGATCATTGCCAACGACCAGGGCAACCGAACCACTCCTTCCTACGTTGCCTTCACCGATACTGAGCGAGTCTGGTATCCCGGACTGCACCTCAAGGGAAAGTTCCTTGTGATGATTTTCGTATTTGCCCTCATGTATTTGTTCTCTCTCGCTTTGAGAAGAAATGGTGGGAAGTCGGCTATGCAAAGAAAGCGTGGGGTGTGCGCTGGAATTTGCCTTGAGATGAATGGCATGAAGTCGACTATGCGAAGAAAGCGAAGAAAGCATGGGGTGTGCGCTGGAAATCGCTGGAAGATTTGGAATCAATATTTGAAGGGCATTTGTGCTTTCACTGCCGTGCATGTGGCAGGTCGAAGGCGACGTTGGAATCGACCTTTCAGGTGCAGGTTGCGGCATGGGGGCTGGCGATATCGCCGTGCTCTCTTGAAATGGCCCGGACTTCATGCTCATCGTGGTGTCCGTGCTCAACGTGATGTTCATCAAGACCATGTGGACGAGATCGGCAGCGTTCCCTTTGGGCATGCCGAAAATATCCTTTTTCACGCAGTGCTCAGCACTTTGTGGTCGACCGCATGGCTGGCGGGGGATCCTCTTCTTCAGATCTACTCGCCGGCTTGCAACAACTCTGCGGCAACTACAAGTCTCAGAGTGAGGATACGAAGGACGGCTCCGAGCCGTTGATCATGGCCTTGGAGAACTTGCTCGCAAGAGCCAGGCGGCAGAAAGGTTTCGACCTGTTCAACGGCCTTCGACGACAACTAGCGGAGAAGGAGCAGCGTAGCAGGGCACAAGCTTCCAATTCTTCGTGGAGCTCATCCTGGGATGACAAGCGCCAGAGACAATGGAAAGACTACCCCTCCTCGGGACAGACCTGGAGAAGCTGGCGTCACGACCCGGCGCAGAAATGGCTGGGGCAACACCGCGCAAAGAACCAGGAGCCCTACAAGGATGACTGGGGCAACGTCGTTTGGAGGCCTCGGCTTGCTGATTGGGGCAGCGCGGAAACCAGCAAGCTTCATATGGTGTGTGGGGCGGTGGATTTTGCGAAGGTGTTGGATGACTTCAAAGATGAAGGATTTGTCGTACTCGCAGACAGCATCGAGACTACGAGGAATGCCGTGGATTGGCATGTGGTGAACGCAATGCTAGGGTCACTGTTGCTCCCCACCAACGTGCCCTGGCCCGAGGACCCGAGATGATCAGGGTTGGGTTCCAGGCATCATCCGCAAGGCCATTCAGGTTCGTCAGTGCTATAGCCAATGCTACAGCAATCACCAACCCCTTGGCTCACGAAAGGTGATTAGCCCGGCTTCAGTGAAACAGTTCCAACCTGTCGACAAGGGTGGTATTCCGGATCGACAGGATTTGTTCTCCGAATGGTCCAAGATGGTGGCCAACCCCGGTGCTTCTGCGCGTCGGTGGGCACTAAACCACGAGCCTCGGACGAAGCAACTCGGGGACACTTGCAAATTCGAGTTGAGAGATGGCCTATCACGGCAGGCCCAGCTTTGCGGACTACTTTGGGTACACTCTCAGCATGCAGCCCTCAGGTGCCATGAATGATCAAGGCCAGAGATGGATGGTGGAGCTTGTACATGGCGACCTCCAGGAACTACACACGAAGGTTTTATGGATGGACTGGAACACTGATGAGAGACACCGCTTACGCCGCTCGGGTCCGAAAGCTTGCAGGCCAAGGTGCTATTCTGGGCAGATCGCAACTTGGTATTCGCATTCCTCACGGAGATGCCGGCTACGGGACCGTCCTTCTACATGGAGAGCTTTCCTACAGATTGGGTTGTGAAGCTTAATGATGCTGAGCTGCACCAACCAGCGCTGCAGGATGCTACAGGGGGAACCTTCGAGCTGATCAGCATGAAAGAGGCCAAGCGACACCAGGATTTGTCCAAGACTAGGTAACTTCGCGGCGAGGTGGCTGTTTCTTTCAAGTCCGTGGCCTCCATTAGCCGCAAGGACAACAAGCGACAAAGCAATGCCGTGACCCAGCCTGCCGACAAGGACACCGACAAGGACGGGGATGCCAATATGGAGGCAGCTGACAAAGTAGAAGACGCAAAGAGGCGCAAGTCTACCAACGCTGGCCATGACACAAAGAAACCATGGATACCAGAAAGCGGTCGCAGAATAGCAACTTGCAATTGCAGAAGGCATGACCAAGTTTGCTCTGAGAAGAAGGCGTCCGGAAGGTCTCTCAGAGCTTTCGTGGCGGCGTGGTATGAGAAGCACTTTGAGGAGTACCAGGCGCTATGGGATGGCATGAAAGCTGGAGCCAGCTTCAAGGCGGATGGTCCTAATTGGAAAGGTCAAGCTGTGCGGCACCTGGGCTTGCTACCTGGAGCTGACCGTTGCCCACTCGCTCGTGACTTTTCGTCCTCAGCAACGAGGGCGAGGTCAAGCTGCATACTCACGGTGGCACTGCGCGGCCCCTTTGCCTATACTTCGATATAGGTGGCCCAGCATGACGAGTATCTTGATGCCACCGTTTCTGGGCAGCCACCCAGGAGGGCACCAGGTTTGCAGGTAGGTCCTTGGCGGAACCCCTTGCGTTGAGGATTTTGCTTCCGATGTCCTAACGCAGCCTGCCAAAAAGTCCCGCTCGAGGCCCTCTATCGCTAATGTTGACCCCGTATTAATAAACCCTCCCCTATTAAACCGGTCCGGGTGACCCCCCCCCCAATACTAAACAATACATAGCTCAGATAGGGTTCTAAAAAACCCCCCCCAATTAAACCGGTCCCTGCCCCCAGATGGCTGCTTTCTCCACTGCTTGTCGAGCTTATTCTTAGAAATTGCTGAAAATGTCATCCATATTGACAACTCACATGCTTGCAATTCATAGCATGCACCCAATTCCAGATCTCAGAAAAGAAGCACCAGCAATACTAAATCAAATGGAAATTCAATTCGATCTCAAAAAGGAAGCTCCAGCGATCAAATGGAAACTCAATTCCAGATTTCAAAAGGAAGCTCCAGCAATACTAAATCAACTGGAAACTCAATTCCAGATCTCAAAAGGAAGCTCCAGCAATACTAAATCACATGGAAACTCAATTCCAGATTGTTTAGGGGGGAGCCAAAAGCCCTTCAAAATCTGGCCCCCCGCAAAATCTTCTGACCTTCAAGGGGGTGCGTTACAGATTAATACGGGGTCAACGTTACGCGGTCCTTGGATCTTGCTGACTTTGCTTCGCAATCAGCGTCATCATCCCTGAACCCGATTGATTTTGCTTCGGGCACTCAGCAGGCCCCATCTCGGAAGAGAACGCCGGGCTCATCTAGCCAAAAGGTTTCGCACTGGTATGAACCTCCAATGCTGAGATTCGGACTCTTTGCAACAGGCGGGGCTCTGAGCCAACCCACAGCCAGTCAAAGCCAATAGAGCCCTTGAAGAAGATCGAAGCGATCAACGCTGACCACTCAAACATTGCGTGACATCACGGACTTGGAAGTTGATGGAGATGTGCCTCCGGTTCCTCGCACGCGTCCTGGACCTCGCCCTGATCCTACAACTCCAATGGTCTTGTCCCTGGTGCCCTTTTCGGACCGAATCCAAATCTTGCGGACACCAGATATAGGCACAACCGTGCCCATCATGGATGTCAAGGCAATTTGGGACGCTTTGCGCGTAAGCTGAAGTTGGTCTCAAAATCAACCCTTGCTCGGAAGTTGCTTGGTCTTGCCCCTTTTGCGACATGGCCATCAGCAAGCAGGACATGCCAAGCTGTCGCAGTGATACTCGGTAATCTCCTTACGGACCATCGCCTTGAGAAGTGGTTGCCACAGCGTGTCGGAGCGCAAACAGAAGGCCATGACTGAGAGACGACTTCGCAAACTGGAGGAGGTCAAAAAGCATGAGGCCTTGCACCCTGAATTAGCGAATTTGGGAGGTGGCGACCCGAGCTCTGAGAGGTGAAGGTCCGACGCCTTCATGAGAGCTCAGGACACTTTGCAGCCGGGCACCGGGCCTGCGGCAGGCCGATGTGTTACTATGAATACGGGAAAGTCAGACATGTGCCGCGCGAATGCTTCAGCTCATTGCCGCCATCTCTCAGCCCCTGAGGCCGGCAAATCGAGGGCGCGCCTCCTTTGCACAGTCCCAGCGAGGCCGCTTTTCCTCAATTTTGGTTTTGCTTCGCAAGTGGCAGCAGGCATCGCTTCAATTTCAAGGTCAAGTCCGGAAGTTGGTCATCTGCTCTATCTACGCCTTCCCTGCAAACCGTGTACAGACCCGCCTGCTCCTCGAGAACTTGTCCCGTGAGCTCAATGGCATCGGTCTGCCCTTTAATCTGGCCGGTCATTAAGGACATGCTTTTTATGCCTTTTTTTGTGTGCTTTTTTTTGGACCGAACACCTTGTTTTTTCGCGTGCGCGTTCTTTGTCAAAACAATCTGTTTTTCGGAAGTGTTTTTTTGCCGAAAATCTTGGGGAGGGAGGGGGGCCTTGATGTTTGGACAATCCGGTGGCTCAGAGAGTTGTTTTTGCTATGTCAGCTGGTAGTGAAACTTGGCGCACGTGCTGCCATGGACATTTACGGGGGTGACGCTGACGAGCTCGCGCATTGCGTGGCGCTGCATGTCATTGAAATGAAGATTGACGAGATTATTGTCAGGAAATGCAGCCGGGTCCTGCGGTTGATCATGGAAAGAACTGGGCGAAGAGCCGCGATGTTTCCTTTCGCAGTCGTTCTTGCTGGTATGGAGCGCGCGCTGATTTCGCCCTTGCCTTCTGATGATATGGCCAGGGAGCCTCTTGTGCGGGATTTGTGCTCTCCAGGCTCTCCAGGACCAACGCAACTTCCACGCGTCACTGCTGAAGAGCGGGCCTTTGTGGAAGAGTCGACCCAGGTTCTGCACTTCTTGAACGAACTGGCCGACATTGACGGACCTCTTACCCCATTGGGGATGCTGTTGGACGATGCTTGTTTGACTTTGCGTGAGCTTGTTTACCCTTGAACTCTGACTGAACTTGCATCTAGAAAAGGCTGCGGAAACACAGCCTTTCCCCTGAGAGCCCGGCTCAGCTTAGGTTTTTGCTTTGCCTGAGAAGTTTGGCAACTCCTGAGTTTTACAAAGCACAAGGAAAAGCGTGTCGGTTTTGCTGCCAGCGTTGCGTGCGGCTCAGTGAGTTTTCGCCCGCCGCCCGCCCATTCGGTTCAACTGGCTCAGCTTCGGTTCGGCTTCAACTCGTTGTCCAGCTTTGCAACCAAAGCTGGCGAAGCCATGGCATCCAGGTACTTGGAGGAGGGCTCAGCTGGCATTGTGCGGGGGGGATTGCCTATACAAGTTGGCGGAAGACATCCAACGAATCACTTGCGGGCAACCAGACAAGATCCCTTTCTCGATGCTCATCAAGGTCTGCGAGACTCTGGGCCCTCTGTACAAAGACAACCGGATGAACTCCAAGATCATCAGCAAGTGCTGCGCCACACGCGCTGTGCTTGAACACTTTTTTTGTCACAAGACACCGGTGACTGATGTGCGCTACAAGGACGTCTTGTGGATGTTTGATGAGTACGAGATGCTGCGGCCGATGAAGGGGAAGCTGAACAAGGTTAAGCTTGACGAGCTGCGCACTCTCCATGACCATATGTTGCAGGTGAGCGAGGCCCTGGATGTGTGGGGCGGTCTTGCCGCTGGCCACGACGCAGAGTGTGTGTTTCTGGCCATACTCTGGCCAGTCCATGTCCTGATACAGGACTTGCAGCCGGTGCTTCGAGAGTTCACATACGAACACACTGCGGCAACACAGTAGTATTTATTCTGAGCTTGAGGGGCTGCTGCAGCCTGAGAAACGATGTGTTTGCTGCCGCATGCTTGTTTGCAGGCAAGAAAAATAGCACCTGGGGCAATATTTGTCAATTTGAGATGCTTTTTGTGCAATTTACTTTGCAGCGCTCTGGTCCAAACTGGCCTTTTTTTAGGGGAGCCAGGATGGAACAGTCACCTGCGTTGCGCGCCATGACCGAGGCTGGGGCTCGACGACGGAAGATCGAGGCATTGAAAACGCAAATGGAACACCTAAAGGAAGAGTTGCAGATGGTGGTAGCTGTTGAGATCCTGATGAGGCAGGAGTACCACAATCTGGATTCGGCGCTGGACCTCATCGAGGAGTTCCAAAACACGCGCAATGGCAGGCAGCAGCTGTTTATTGGTTCTGAGAGGGGCAGAGACTTTTCAGGTTGAGTCTATGCGCAGGATGTCGCTCCGCATGTGGCAGACGGCAATTACGGAGGTCATCGATCACAAATTGTGGCAAAGCACGCAGGAGCTGGAGAAGTTAGAGTCTGAATTGCGCCGGCGATAGATGTCCCATGTTTATACTGCCGGAGTTCCACGCAGCGCTGCTGCCGCGAAAACCAACTGCGTGCCCGCAGTTGGTTCTTGTTAATGGCCAACACCTCTGCAAATTCCAACAGTAGCTTAGTCTTGACTTTACACGTTTCGGGCGCAAGGTCGGAACAAGAAAAAGACCCTCTTACGCAAGGCTAATGGTGGTTGAGCTGCAGTCTTCGATTCGTGCCTGTGTTTGCTCGGGCGCGCCTGTGAACAGTTTGAAACATGTGTCAGGGATGCTGTGTTCATGTCGTGATGGTTGAATTGCCCGCCGCAGCTGTTAATGAACATCTGCGGAATCGCAGCTGTCAGTCAGACCAATGCCGTGGAATTTCTGACTTTTTGGCAGGACCGTTGTGCGATGTTCTGCGGATGTAATGCAAGACCCCGTTGTTCAAGAAGAAGGCCTTCAAAGACAGCGGTGTGATGGTTTGCGGTTGGAACTTTGAGGTGAATTGCTGCGTGTGCCTGCTGGAGGGAAAGGCTGAGGCTGGCCTGCAGCACAGCTGGCGCTACACCAGGGATGAGGCCTTCAAAGTTCGGTCCGAAAATTGCGAACCGCCGATGTGTACTAACTGGGTGGGCGCCGTGTGTGATCGCTTGCCGCCATCGTCGCAGGCATCCTCGGCGACCTCCCCGCCGCCGCCGTGGCTGAGTCCGCCGCCGCTCCCGCCCGAGGAAGTGCTTAAGGATATCTTGGACGAGCTGACAGGGGTGCAAGGCCGTGTCAACAAGATAGAGATGATGATTATTAAGCTGCTGAATCAGAAGAATGAGTCCAAGGAGACAATCAAGCATTGCTAGACACAGACAGCCCAAGGAGACAGTCTTCGAGCATCGCTAGACACAAACTGCGGCCACGCAGTCTTGCCAGTGTTTCACTTGAATTGCTGCCGCAACAGTCTCTTCGCACATTTTGCAGCCAGAAAAAAAAAACGCAGCGCAATGCTTTGTCAATCCATGAGCAAGGGCCCGCCCTGGGTTGGCTGTGCAGCTCTTCGAGTAGGGTATGCAGGCATCTGGTAACACTGCACGACTTTGTTTTTTCGGTTGTGTTGTCGTTTGCGACAGCAGGAATTGCCCTTCGCCTCTTCAACATAAAGCTTCCGCAACTCC